GATTGGTTCATCATCTAATCAGTATACCAGGAAGTAATAGTAGAAACTCACAGATCTATGTGAAATTTAGCTAAGATTAAAACCAACACTTTTAATCAGTTAACCTTGATGAATATTTGATAAAAGGTGTAAGTTATTTCAGATGGAACCACACTGTCTAAGAAAACGGGATAGGTGGATTTATTATTTGGCAGTGAATCGGAAGAAGAATTTCCTGAGAACTGTCCGAAAATGTCAACTCACGATCAGTTTACGCTGCCAATGTTAAAAATATACCCCTTGTTCCCTAAGTAACCTCCATTTAAGAGATTAATTGATTTTCTTAGCCATTTAAATAGGCACATTCAGGTCAGTCTACTCTGCTGAAGTCAGGTATGCAGGTTGTTTTTATTGGAAGACATTATCCATAATTCTATATCAGAATTGCTTATTTGATTTATAATACACAGTTATATAGCATCATTTACTTGATGTCATTATGAGCAATAATTTATGCTCGAAATGACATCAATGCAATCACACAACTTTCGACATTTGGTTTTTATAGTTACATCACCTCATATGATTTGTTTTTATTGGTAGTAAAACCTTCCATATCTCTGGCATAGGTGTTGGGTCATTTCTAAAACTAATAATCCTAACACAATTTATGATACTATTAAGCTTCATAAACTAGGTTATCCCATTCGACCAAAAGTTGACTTCAGAAATACCCGAACATATGAACTAGCAAAGTACTTAGCATCGATATTATGTCCTATTAGGAAGCGTTCAAATTCCAGACTAGTTAACCCTTACGGGTTAAAAGTAAAGCTTAGTGACCTACATAAATAAGAGGATGAAAAAATGGTTAGCTTCGATGTCACAAGTCTTTATACTAAAGTACCAATCAATATGGCACTGGAAGCAGTCAGAAATCAACTAAATATTGACTCAGAACCGAATCAGAGAACTAAGATAAAGGTTGATGAGATCATAATAGGCATACAGTTGTGCCTGACCTCCATAGTCTTCAAGTTTCAGAACAAAATATACAAACACATAGAAGGAGTAGCAATGGGATCGCCGATATCCCCAATTGTAGCAGATATATTTATGGATAGTTGGGAAAACATGGCTTTACAAACGTCTAGTCCTGCACCAAAAATATGGTAGCGATATATGGATGACACATTTACTGTATTAAAATCGGAACATACTGACAACTTCCTCACACATATAAACTCAGTAGTAGGCGCAATCCAACTCACGTATCAGGTAGAAAATGAACAAGGAGAATTAACTGTGTTTGATTGCAAGATAAAAGGAAGGACAGATGGTGGTTTGGATACTACCGTCTAGAGAAAAGCAATACATTCCAACAGGTATCTAGACTTCAAACCATCCAATCCAATGTCAATTAAGGCAGGCTTAGTCAAATGTTTAATTGACAGAGCTAGGAAACTGACTAGTCAGTGCAAGGACCTAAAGAAGGGATTGAAACACGTAAAAGAGGCACTAATAGTTAATAATTATCCTCTGCAGTTTATCGAGAATTGCATATGAACACACAAGAAACAAAAAATAACAGTAACACTCGTACAAATAATAATAACTACAACACAAGTAGAAAGGAGTTCACAGCCTCCATTGTGTTACCCTACGAGGAAAGCACATCAGAAACTTCACGTAGGATCCTCAACAAAGCTGGTATTAGGGTGGCGTTTAAACCTACAAATTCACTCGGAGATAAGCTATATCGGCTTAAAGATCTGATAGAACCAGTTCAGCAAAATAATCTAGTCTATCAAATTCCATGTAATGACTGTAAGGTCAAGTACATAGATCAAACTAGCCGATCGGGATCAATTAGAATAGCCGAACATAGGAATTTAACTAAATGTAGAATGACAGACCCGAATAAGGTCTATAATCTGGAAAAAAACTCGGTTATTGCGTTGGATACATTAACATACAACCACACAACACAGTGAAACAAAGCTACTGTATTATTATTATTATTATTTACCCTTGGGTTTCTAATGGAACATATGGCTTCAGTAGCACGTCTCCAGTGCACTCTTCTCTGCAGTCTTTGCAACCTGGCTCCACAACTGCCCACATACTTTCATTTCTTCCTCACACCATCTCAGCTATGTCACCCTCGGACACCAAATTCGTCGTTTCCCATTTGAGTTCCACTCGAGTGCCTGGTCTGGTGTGTGATGTCCCCAATCGGTCTTCTCAGTGTATCCCCAATCCATCTCCACTTTCTTCTGCATATTTGTTAGGCGACGGATACATGGTTGGTTCGTTGCCAAGTCAGAGTTCCTTGTTCCTTGTTGCTTATTCTTATTATTCTGGCCATCTGATCTTCAGTATCGAGTGAGTGTAGGCGACAGCCGTTGATGGATGTGTGTAGTTTGTTCGAAATGCTTTTCGTAACAAGCCAAGTTTCTGAACCATATAGCAGCACTGACTTCACTGACATTAGTTTTGAAAATCAGGATCTTGTTCACGCTTCATGCTGAGTGCAGTGCAATAGATATCCACACTGGTTTCAGATTGATGAAGGCCTGTCTTGTTGCCTTTCCGATGCTGGCTTTGGTGTCCCCATCTGTGCCGTTGCCTGTGGCTGAAACGATGCAGCCTTGCGTAAGTAGGTGAAAGAGACTACTTCCTTGAGGTTTCTCTCGTTGATGGTGATTGGTGCCTCTTGTTGTTGATGCTGTTGTAAGTTGGGTATCTTCATCACCTCTGTCTTCTCTACGTTCACCTGAAGGAAGTCCCGTTTTTGCCGCCCTGCCTCACCTCTTCTGTCAACTTGTTGGTTTTTGTCTGTAGATCTCCGAGTTTGTGCGACATGACATTAGACATAAGTCATCATCATCGGCGACGAAATCCAAGTCTTCTGGGCTGTTTTCATCGATCCAGCCAGCGTATTCTCATCTTCTCGGTCCTCACTGTTTGCTGCATGATCCAGTCCAGTCGACCACAATCAGGAAGATCATGGGTGACAGTAGACAGCCTTGTTTTACTCTTATCTTCTCTTCAAAGGCGTCACTGAGCTTTCCGTTGTGAATCACTTGGCATGTAGTACCATGTAGCATTTAGCTGTTGAATGAGGTTGATAAAGATTAGTGACACTCCGTAGTGTTGAAGCAACTTCCAAGTTACTTCTCGGTCGACACTGTCGAAGGCCTTTTCAAAGTCGATAAAGTTGAGGTAGAGAGTTGACTGCCATTCTATACTCTGTTCAACGATGATGCGTAGTGTTGCAATTTGATGTGCACATGATTTGTTCTCACAGAAGCTAGCCAGGCTGTTCCGGCCGTATTTTTGAATGGAGAGCATTTGTTAGTCTCTTCAGAATGATGCGGCTTAATATTTTGCTTGGAGTGACAGGGACAAGAGCATGATTCCTCGCCAGTTCTTGCAAAGGCTTAGGTCTCTCTCCTTTGGGAGTTTGACAAGTTAACCCTTCTTCCAGTCAATCAGTAGGTACCTCTCTTTCCTCCCTTCCAAACTTTCTGCAGTAGTGGTGTGAGCGTGTTTGCTGTTGTCTCTGTGTCCGTTTTCAGTGCTTCTGTCAGAATCCCATCTAGTCCTGCTGCTTTCCCGAATTCCGGCAACTCTATGGCGTTCAAGACTTCGCTTCTGCTTTTGCCTATGGGCTTGTGTTCACTTGTAGTTCTGCGGTTGCTGGTGGTATTTCTGGATGAGTTGCAGGTGGTGGTCAATTCAAGAGTTTTTGAAGTGGTCAGCTCATCGTTGCCTTTGATTCTACTCTTTGGTAACTAAGTTTCCTTCACTATCTCTCATTGATTTCGTCTGCGTTGATCTCTTCCCAGATAGTAGCCTGGTTATTTGATATGGTGTTGTCAGGTCTCTCCTACCAGCAGTCTGCAGCCTGTTCTGCTTCACTTGCCAATCTGCCTTAGAAGTGTCTTTGCTCTTCACGCTCACTCTTCTTCGCTTCTTTGTCCAATGTTTTTTACTTTAGTTATATCGTGTTGCAGGAGATTTAGATATAAATATCCTGGCAGCGGAACTCTATGTGTAAATGCCAATTGGATGATGGTCTTAAGGTTCTTTTCGTAAATTTCACCTTATTTTATTGTATCAATAACATGATTCACAGAGCCCTACCATGTTTTTATAATCTTTTCATCATCAAGATAATCTTAGATGTCGTTTCCTTTACATTGCCCCCCCCACCCATTTTATCAAGTTTTATCTTATTCACGCACATTCTTAACGGTCACTTGACTTTAATTTGAGTACCTTAGAAATGATTACGCTATTCTCATTAACTCACTAGGTGGTACACAGGACCCAAGCTATCCTGAGTTTTCTTCCTTATATCAGTGTATTTCCACAATATCAATAATTGTAAACGTGGAAAAACTATAGATGAATAAAACTGTCAATGTCTATGTGATTATCTGAGATAGCAATGGGTTGGTTAGCAGACTGAGATATATGTAACAGGATACTGATTAAACATGAATCAAAAACCTGGGTTATACCAGAATTTGAACCACCTGCCTTCAGGGTTTCATCTATCTCACTGTAGGATTATAATTTTAGAGTCACAGGGCAGTTTTTTCTTTTCTGAAACCTTTGTTTTATGTTTCTATTAATGTTAGAAAAGTGGTATCAAAATAACAGAGAAAAGTACAAGAGCTAAGAGAACAGATAGATGAAGAGTAGTTCTATGTTCAGTGATGTAATCAGGAACAAATTCATGTACATCAGTCAATTTTCAGACATATTACCAAGAATCTTTAGTTGTTAATTTTTAGATACCAAGGACTATTCTGAGGTTGACAGTGAATGTGTACGGTAGGAAGTTTACGATAAATTATGGTTTCTTTTGATCGGGTGATTATTAGATGAATACGTAATCTCTCTAATTTCCTATTCTTCCCATTTTTCATACTGAAACTTTACTGTTTATATAAAATGGAAAGCCTAAGATTTATGCTTCTTGCATCAAATTATTTACAATACATCCTTACCTTGAACTGATGATCTCGTTTTAAGACTGAGATTATCCTCCGGTGAAGCATCCACATTTTCTTCTGTTGACACTGCTTCAGCTATGATTTCAGTTAGTATATTTTGTCCAGGTAGTACATCATTATTATCTCTAGTAGCCTGTTGAATATCTTGTATTACAGGACTTATTGATGCATTATCAATTTCAGTTACTCCTGGTGGATTAGGTGACTTTTCTTCCTCTGGATTATTTAGCAACAAAAAGCGCATAAATAAGCATCCGAAAATCTAAAATATATTTACACTTTTTACATTAATCAAACTACAAAAATCTAGTATCAGAGCATGTTAGGTGAACAGGCTAACTGTAAACAAAATCAATGAATAACTTTGCTGAATTCGTTTATTAGATGTGTGTTACACAGTGAAACAGTATAATTTACCTGGATAACGTTGCAAGTACAATATATCTGATTCATATTCACTCCACGATTTGATTTGAATATGAACAATAAATTCTGTTCGAAATGTTTGTTATCCAGTAAATAATACTATTTTCAAGTTGTTATTCATCGAAGCCTGACATCAGTTGGAGGAACAAAGGAAGCCTGGGAGCACTGGACAGCCGTTTCGTCCTGGTATGGGACTCCTCAGCAGTACGCACCCACGACCCCACCAGCAGGGACGGCTGTCCAGTGCTCCAAGGTTTCCTTTGTTCCTCCAACTGATGTCAGTCTTCGATGAATAACAACTTGAAATATTTCCAAATCTCCACAACCCCCTCAAAATACTATTTTCACTGTGTGACATATATAGAAAACAGTCTAAAATAGAATTAGAATCTATGACAACACTCAAGTTTGACTCCTATGTGTTCAAATTCAACTAATCAAATCCTATAACTTCAATAAAACGTTCATCTTAAAAAAATATAGTTATTCAAATAACATAAAAGCGATTGGAAACTATCCCATAAATCTGTTACAATGAATTACAGTAAATTGATATAACAGTTGGGTTTTTGTACACAAGAAGGTAATAAATTCATGTCTTTTGGAAGCATCTTATCACTGCAGTCTAAGTGAATGCAAACAAACGAATCTAGAGGTATTCTATGCATTCTGATCGATATAATAATACAATGATTGTATCAATTCTTGTATTCCAACCCACTGTGTTACAATATTCAACCACACGAGTGAATCAAGATTAATTAAAGTGGTCATCTTATCAATGTTCGATTACATGTATGAAGTTTTAAATCAAAACTAAGAGGAAAAATGTTCTAATGATCAAAAAATCCATTTGAAAATCAGTACCTGAGAAACAGCATCACGAAAAGAGTGTTCTATGAATGCCATAAGTTACTGTTAGAGTAAATATACATGATCAAGATATAAAAAAAGCCGTTGATGACAAGAATAAACCACTCAGATTACGAAGAAAGTCATCTGAAAGAAACCACGTGGCTGCAAGACACATGAATCCTCCTTGAAAGAATAAAGGAAAATTTATGTTAATTATGAAGAGTACAGGAAACGAAGAGATGAAGAAAAAGAAATAAAAAGGGACCGACCTATACATTTCGAGCAGTTATAACTTTAAAATGCGTAAATTCAGATCGTTCAAGTCCCGGAAACAGATTCACTATCACCACAGAAGGAATAATCTGAATCTAACGTAAACGTTATGGAAAGCTTATCACTTCAGAGCCATTATGAAGATAGGAGTAAAACAAGGCTGTTGACTATCACCCAGGATATTCCTCATTGTGGTCGACTGGACTGGATCATGCAGCAAACAGTGAGGAGCTGTGAGAAGAGGGGGATACGCTGGACTGCAGAAAAGAACCTAGAAGATTTGGATTTCGGTGATGACTTGTGTCTAATGTCTTGTCGCACAAACTGGAAGATCAACAGGCGAAAACTAACAAGTTGTTAGAAGAGGTGAGGCAGGGCAGCGAATGAAGACGGGACTTCAAGTGAACGTAGCGAAGATAGAGGCGATGATGATACCCAACCAACACCATCACTCCCAACAACAACAAGCTCGAATCACCATCAACGGGAGAAACTTAAAGGAAGTGGCCTCCTTCACCTACCTAGGCAGCCCTGTTTCAACTACAGACAGGATAGGCACAGACGAGGACGTCAAAGCAGCCAGGATCGGGAAAGCAAGACAGGCATTCATTAACCTTAGACCAGTGTGGATATCTACCGTGCTCAGCATAAAGCGTGAACAAGATCCGGATTTTCAACACTAATTCAGTCAAGTCACTGCTTCTATGTGATGGTTGGGAGACTTGCCACGTTATGAAAGTGATTTCCAACAAACTACAGACATCCATCAACAGCTGCCACATATGGTGGCTCATTACTGAAGGTCAGATGGATTGCCAGAATAATAAGAATAAGCAATAAGGAACTCTGGCCGGGTAACGAAGAAGCAGTTATGGAGCCAGGTTGAAAAGACTGCAAAGAGAGTGAAATGGAGATGTGCTACTGAAGCCCTATGTTCCATTAGGAACCCAAGGGATTAATAATAATAATAATAATAATAATAATAATAATAATAATAATAATAATAATAGTAATATATCCATATGAGTTGACAAGAGAAATGTAATATTCAAAGATAGGAAAAAAACTGAAAAACATCCTGGTACAAAATTTCATTCCCTGATAAGATACACGGAATATTAGCCTAAAAACACATATTCAGGGAAAAGAATACATACAGGAATATATCACGCGAAATAAAATCACCTCGAAATAGCGAAAAAACAAGTAAAAGAAAAGAGGTGAGATTATTCAAATTAAACAAAACAAAAATTAGGAATGTCCAAAATATTCTTAAAATAAACATGAGGATCAGCGATTAGAGCATAATGGTCCAAGTTGCCATAGCCCATATCACCACACCAAGTAAAAAGGGAATAAATCAGAAGATGAAGAAAGAGAGAAAAATCGGTCAGAAGAGTTATAAAGAAGTGAGAGGTAGGAAGAAGGAATAAGATGATGAGACTAAGTATAGCAGTTAAGATGAGGATGAAGTGTGTATACATTTAAGCTAATGACATCGGTTCTCAGCCATATCGCCCAGAGTCTCCAACCACTTGTTTCTCTTGTTCTGCCTACCCCAACCGGCTAGTCTGCATCGCCCTACATGGCTCAAACCAACAGTCAAGGATTTCCTATATTTATGCCATACTTTAGTCTGGTCACTCTGAGTCTTTTTCCAGCTTGGACCTACTTCGACCAACATTGTGCGATGAGGTAGATGGTGGTTAAGCATACGTAACACGTGTTCCAGCCATCTCAGTCGATGAAAATTCACAACTGCATCAACCGTCTTACCACTCCTGCCTAAAACTCTACGTTTGACTTATGCATAGCTAGCGTGGTGACACCACGTAACACCGTCCATGTCACGAAGGCAACGGTAGTTAAGCACAGAGATAAGTGCATTATGAAGTAGACACCCATGATCATAGGACAGTTACAACATACAGAGTGATGTTTTCCACGATGGTAGAAATATCCTAGCTGATAACATCTGATAGAGAAAACTCTTCTGTATTCCCGTAGTACATACTAAGCAAGATGAAGTGGTCTGCGATGCATTTATTGCTAACTGTACCATCATCTTCCAGCAGCAACTTTAACATTACAGTAAAAAATAACAAGGTGAGGATAAACCTCTAAAGAACATGACTACGGTAAGGTGGCAAGCCAGAAACGGAAAGACCTAAATAGTTAATATACCAAAGTTAGTTTTGTAACTTTGTCAATACAGATTGACCACCATTTTGTGAAATAATTTAATTTCCTGGTGCCGTTAAAATGTTGCCTTTAACTCTAAAATCAAAAGAATGTTTTCTGAGACAGCCCTCTGATCCGTCTTTTAAAAATGAAATGAAAGTAAGTAAGAAAAAAGCATGTAACCGGTAAACTACTTATTGTTGTATTATTATTTGTCCCTTGGGTTCCTAGTGAAATATAGGGCTTCAGTAAGACGCCTCCAGTGCACTCTTCTCTGCAGTCTTTTCAACTTGGCTCCACAACTGCATGCAAGTTTTCACACACACACACCATCTCATCCATGTGACCCTCGGACACCAAATTCGTCGTTTCCCATTTGAGTTCTACTCGAGTGCCTGGCATGGTGCATGATGTCCCCAAATGGTTTTCGCAGTGTATCCCCAATCCATCTCCACTTTCCTTTGCACATTTGTTGGGCAATGGATTCATGGTTGGTTCGTTGCCAAGTCAGATTTCCTTGTTGCTTATTCTTATTATTCTGGCCATCTGATCTGAACCTCAGTATCGAGTGAGTGTAGGCGACAGCCGTTGATGGATGTGTGTAGTTTGTTCGAAATGCTTTTCGTAAAGCGCCCGCCGCCAAGTCTCTCCACTATCACATAGAAGCATTGACTTGACTGATATTAGTGTTGAAAATCTGGATCTTGTTTACGCTTTTTGGTGAATCCAGTGTAGTGCAGCAGGTCTCTACACTGATTTCACGTTAATGAAGACCTGTCTAACTTTTCTGATTTAGGCTTTAACGTCCCTACCCGTGCCACCGCCTGTAGTTGCAACGATCCAGCCTTGTATAAGTAGGTGAAAGAGACTACTTCCTTCAGGTTTCTCTCGTTGATGGTGATTGGTGCCTCTTGTTGTTGATGCTGTTGTAAGTTGGGTATCTTCATCACCTCTGTCTTCTCTACGTTCACCTGAAGGAAGTCCCGCTTTCGCCGCCCTGCCTCACTTCTTCTGTCAACTTGTTGGTTTTTGTCTGTAGATCTTCGAGTTTGTGCGACATGACATTAGACAAAAGTCATCATCATCGGCGACGAAATCCAAGTCTTCTGGGCTGTTTTCATCGGTCCAGCGAAGGCAAAGCTAAAAGTCTTAAGAAATTATTTGAAATCACAGTTCGATAATTTGTCAACTATTTACAGTCTGGTTTTTTGGACAAAACAGCAATCATTTTGCACACTAATTAACTTCTGCTTAATGTGATCAGTAAAAACTATGAGTAGAGCATAAATGCAAAAACAAACGCTCACATTTGGGTAAAAAATAATAAAGAAACAACCCGGTTTGGGCTAATCTTACAAAGAAAACTCTGTTGATCAGAGTTAAATAAATTTAACTCAAGTGGTAATAAGAATAAGAAATATCTTACTGTTTTCCTCCTCTTCAGGTTCTAAAATTACGAAAACAAATGAGACTACATTAACATGATATTCACAAAGAGTAATAATAGACACTATTTAACTAGTTGCTTACTAATATAATATACATTGTAGACATTGTGGCAGCGTAGTTTTGATAACTCCTCAGTCATTTAGTAAAAGACATACCTTACAGTTTCGTTAAAGTTGTTGATAGTACGGTAAAACTGAAGTTTAGAGACTGCCAATCACCTTCAAGTATCCACTGACCAATCAGAATCAGAAGTGTGACGGACATTATACTTGTTGAGGAAAATATTACTTTATTTACAATTTATAAATCAGTTTTTGCATGAAAAATAAAGATATCTAGATTGTCAATAGGTTTATCACCTCTGAAATTATACCACTGTCTGTATTGCCATTCATACATATGAGACAGCATCATTTCCTCACGTGATCCCGTTAACGGTCTTAAAAATCTTCTTAAACGACTCCATTTATTTTCAAAGTTGTTTGTGTGCACTCCTGTCGTCTGATCAATGAAGTGCCTCTTGTGAACAATAGCTTGATGGAGGTAACTCATTTCAGAGACAGGCATATACTACTTCTAAGCATCTGTGTATACTGTGGTACTCGATACCACGCATTTTCCTATAACTGGTAGGATGGGTTTTTCTGACTTATCCTGAGCTCAAATTTTTATGCTTAATTTAAAGGAATATTATTTATTTTTAAAATATGAAGTCATAAAGTATAGTGCTTCTTCTTGTTCTTTAGAAATTTAATAAATTATGATTTGATAACTAAAATTTCATATACACCTGAAATTTGTAATTAATTTTGTGGTTAGTTATATGAATAATTTCCATAATTGGGTAAAAAACCAGTGGCTCTTTCATTATGAATGTCTTCAGGAATTGTATGATGAAAAGGTGAACCCTTCTTCAGTAAGTGGCAATAACAGACAGAAAGCCATATTTCAAGTTATCACATAGTGAACTTTGTGAGGGATTTTACTCTTAAAGTTTTTGATAAACAGCGACTCAGTATAAACTATTACAAATGTGCGTTATACCGCCACCACCAACAACAAGCTCGAATCACCATCAACGGGAGAAACTTAAAGGAAGTTGCCTCCTTCACCTACCTAGGCAGCCCTGTTTCAAATACAGACAGGGTAGGCACAGACGAGGACGTCAAAGCAGCCAGGATCGGAAAGACAGCAAGACAGGCCTTCCCACATTAACCTGAAAGCAGTGTGGAGATCTTCTACACTCCACTCAGCATAATGCGTGAACAAGATCAGGATTTTCAACACCAACGTCAATTCAGTGCTTCTGTTTGTTTCCGAGACTTGGCGCGTTACGAAAGTGATTTCCAACAAACTACAGACATTCATCAACAACTGCTTACGCTGGCTCGTTAATGAAGGTCAGATGGATTGCCAGAATAATAAGAATAAGCAATAAGGAACTCTGACGTGGCAACGAACCAACCAACAACCTATCGTTGAACAAATGTGCACTGGGCGAAAGTGGAGATGGATTGGGTTGGGCATACGCTGAGAAGGCCCACTGGGGACATCACGCTCCAGGCCAGGCACTTGCGTGGAATCGCGATGGGAAGCGACGAGTTGGGCGTTTGAGGTGAGGGTGACATGGAGGAGATCTTACGAGGAGGAAATGAGAGCTTGTGGGCTGTTGTGGAGCCAGGTTGGAAAGATTTCAGAGGACAGAGTTCACTGGAGACGTGCTAGTGAAGCCCTATGTTCCATTAGAAACCCAAGGGACAAATAAATGAATAATAATAAATGTGTTATGAGAATTGTTCAACTTGTACATATTCAAGTCATCAAAATTATCAAGTGGAAGCTGGTGTTCTTCGGCAAAACTTAATAAGTTTGAAATTTGTACTGACAACTAACTTCGTGTTATGGATGTATTTTTCAAAATGCTTAATGACTTAAATATTCTCAGTTGAAAACCAAGGCAGCTTAAATTGGAATCAAAATCATCAGTTGCAGAGGTAGAAGTTTTTAATATCAGCTTTTTTTTACTGTGTGGTTAGGAAAAACCTTATTGAACAATTTATTCTACAGTTGATCAATCAAAATAAATTTCCAACTGTCCATAAGAACTGTATGTGAATGATGCATTTTTGTCAAGCAAATTGTCTTTTTTCCATTCACAAGTGGATCTTTACCTTCCGAATTTTGCGTCAAATGATAGTCTTTTCAGTGCTGATAGGTAAAAAAGACAACTGACAAACTTACTAAGTATTAACTTGGTTTAACAAAAATATCCTGCAAATTATGAGTTATTACAGAGTATACAAACTAAAAGGAATAAAGTTTAGAGAGAAAAGATTTATCTTACGCTTTTCTTCTTCATTTTCTGTATTGGTGAAAAATACAAATAACAGATTTGATCATTATCAATGTTTGTTTTTTTGTCATTTAATAGAGATAAAGCTAATCATAGAAATACGAATTACAAAAGAATATCCGATTTAGTAGGGAACAAAATCTCACCTTTTAGTTCATTGTCACGCAACTTAGCCCATTCTGCTTCTATACATTGAAAATGAGTTGCAAAAAAGATTTTAAAAAAGTGGATGTATAGTGAATCTCTGAATATTTTATTAACTCTACTGATTAATAAATAATACACACGCGAAAATATCCACACATATGTTAAACACATAGCACAAAACTAATGACAGTGATACATATACATACAAATAGCCACCCATACAGTTACATTATATTCACACTATCAGATGTCAACACGTGCAAATACAAGAACTTCCTATACATGGCTTACCTAATACTACACGTTGATCATACTTTAGAATAGGTTCTTTTGCACATAAAATGAAAATGTTATGTTTAGATAAAAAACAAACTAACTTAAGAATATCAAAATATTGAAATTTATTTAAAACAATAATTTTCAGGGAATTTACTCATTACCATCTTGACTATCTGAGATAACCGTAGTTTGGTAGACTAGTATTTATACTGGGTGATGATTGAAGGTGAAATGGAAATTTGGAATGTGGCTGAATTCGAACCAGCAACTATTGGGTTGCTGACTTGATGCTACACCAACTGAGCTACAAAGTCCAACTGTCGACCAAATTTTTATTTCACTTCAGTCACTAAGGGTTTTTGTTGTGAACGAGTGGTGGGGTTGCGCGCGTGGGTATAATGATACTGAGACTCAATAGACACCTCAACCGAATACCTTTACTACTGACCTCCCTCAGTACTTTCTGCTTCACTTAGCCGCGGGAAAATCAGAACACAAAGACGGCATGTGACTGCAAGAACAGTGACAACTCTTATTAGGCAAATACATGACATATGTGTATTTACAAAACTCTCAGGAAGTGAAGCCATAAATGAACCAATCGGATTTCTTGTATGAGGTCGAACTTCTCTTATCAGGTTCTCATATCAGCGCATGCATAAATTACTACCTGAACGTGATCTGATCATGACTTGAAAACTCCCCTATTGGCTGCCTTCTTATCACTACGCATCAGTTTTGCCTGAGTGTCATGTGAATTCGTGATGCCTTATTATCCGTTCATTGTATTCACACTGGCTGTCCAGCGAGGACCTCTCACCTTAGTCCAAATTAATATAAATTATAGAGGCAGAGCATTATATTGATTATCATCTTAACTATCTGAGGTAAGTATTGGGCTGGAAACCCGGTGGTCTCTGGTTCAAATCCGGCCGCGGTTCAAATTTTCATTTCACATCCAATCATTACTCAGTATAAGTTTATTCATTGACAGACAGACGAAACCAATGTAGGACCTGGCATTGCTGTGTAGGGATTTAAGCTTCTACGCCTAATATCAACACATTAAACGATAATTCAGTGCGATGAAAAATAAGGTGATAAAGAAGAAAGGAAGCAAATATTGGTGAAAATTAGTATGAAAGACAGCAAGGAGGACTGAGAAAATACTGAATTCAGTATAACGATTAAGATGATTATACGAATGAATACATATGAGCCATATAGTATAAAATCTCCAACCACTGATTTCTGTCGTCAAACGCACCCCTCTGTGGCTTAGACAAACAGTCAAAGATTTCTTATACTGGTGCTATATTTCAATCTACCCACCTTTAACCTTTGTCGGGCTTAATCGTACTTCAGCTAACAATGTCCGATGTGACAGACGGTGACTAAGCATGTATAACACATGTCTGAGGCATCTGAGGTGGTAAAGGTTCACAACCACATCAACTGACGTTTGTGTCCTCTCTAAAACTCCACACCTAACTTCTGTACTACTGAAGTGGTGACATCACAATAAGCTACCTATGCTAAGAAGGCAACGGTGGTCAAATATCTGAGGCCTTCTTATATGTTCTACATTTGATGATCATTTTTCAAAGCCATATATGAAGCGAAACAGAGTGAACTACAGTGCGGAACACTCTGTTCGTAACAGACAACTGGATATCACAGCAGCGCCAAGGATGGTACGATTTGGCAAAAGTAAATCTATGCAGAGATTTCATCGATCACTGACCCACCAAGACTGGTTCAACTTCCCAGGTAAGTGTTCAAAGTGCTCAATAGCTGCACTTTCTGTTATTAAACAAGACACAATTGGGTACTAGTCCTGCAGCAACTATTTGCATTTAGTTGGCGAGATATGCAACCTAAACATTCTCGGTTTATCAGTCAAGGTGTTCAGAAGACTCTACATATTGCCAGCATCTTCACTTTACGGGGCTATGTCATCTGCGCACTTTGGGTTTACTAAGGACTCTCCTATGAAATGAACAATCCGTGTAATATCCGACGACGAGAGAGAGACCAGCATAATCACGTCTGTGTTGAAGTTGAATAAGAAAGGAGAGAGTGGACATCCTTGATGGACACCATCCAACATCCAAAACTCACCTGATAACTCAACGTAGGCCCTGAAATCCCCCTCAGGTGTGCGAGAACAAAAATCTTGACAAAATGACGTACTTACTTGGCGCACATTTTGGTGACATACATTGCCATAAGACCTCTAAATCGAATACCGCCTTCAGAACTAGAATTACAGTTTGTGTCGGACTTTGGTATGCGTGCATATGTTTGAGAACCTGGCAGAGTGTGGACATCTGATCCATAAACACATGGTCAGGTCTGTAGCTTATCTGGTTTCCTCAAGTTTGCTGTTTCAAAGCTCCATATAGACGTCAAGTGATTACAGAGCCTAGAATCTTAGACAGTATGTTTGTCAGCCAAATCCCTCTGCGGTGGCCACAAGAGGATTTCTAACCTTTCTTAAAGAATGCAACAGTCAGTGATTGAGACCAGTCAGAGGGGATCATGTTTGACTCCCACACACTAGTTAACACTTCAGTTAACTTGACTAAAAATTATCGACCACTATCCTTATAAACCTCTGGAGCTGGTCCATCTGGCTGCTGCTTCTCTTCGTTTCATGTTATCTACCGCTCCCTCGACTTCTGGAAGTGTCAAAGGTCCTATCTCGGTATTCCATTCAGGCTCCTACTGGACAGCGGGTAACAGGATAGTAGATAGGGGCTAGCTGGACTGTTCGTCGAGGTCTTCCGCCCATTATTCCAGACGTCCCCCCTGTAAGTGGATCGCAGACCCATTCTTCCAGCTACATTCTCACTAACTACTAATTTCTGATGTCACTATCAAAATTTGTAGTTCATTTTAAACAATACCTTTCCTGCTTAACTTTTAACAGTAAAAAAAAACATTTTTTGAAATGAACATTTCATATTCAGCAGAATGGTAAACCTTAGGCATAACCTATGTCTGCATACACCTGGTTTTATAATGATCGAAGTCATGCATATTTTATTTTCAGAATTTATAAATCTTTCAGAAATTTACTTTAAGTTTGTTTTCATCATGGACTGACCAGTTGGAGGGACACTGCAAACCTGGGAGCACTGGACACCTGTTTTGTCCTAGTATCGAGATCCTCAGTAATGCACACCCACAACCCAACCAAGGACTCAACCCGCAACCCTCAGGTTCCATGACCAGTACGTTACAATCAAGCCACATGGTCGGAATCTACTGGTTCATATTTCCAACTTCTGTCAGTTCACGATATAGCGCGACCATCACCGAGTGTTATTGTTGAGTATTTGTCCTGACAGCCATCAGGTTTGCCCCACTGTTCATGATTTCTCATTGAAACTTCAGGAATTATCTCTCAAAACAAATCACCAATGAGTACTAGTTCAATTGAATTTGGGGGGTTATGGTGATTTAGAGATAAGTTAAGTTGGTTTTCATCATGGAGTTTATCAAAAAATCGTATATGGTTTACAAATATCGGGAAGAAGAAGAAGAAGAATACTTTCATGATGTAGTTCAGTAATATTAGAAATGAAAATTTGTAACAGCATATCCTTATCAGTTATCTTTCAAATTCATTCACAATATATCAAAAATAATTGAAGTTTAGATATGTTTATCACTGCATTTTGACTTATAAAGTATCCGATTAAAGTATATCGAATAACATAAAGGTTGGGTATTCGAATTCTAAAGAAGTAAGGCATGCCAAACATGAAGGCATCTAAAGCAGACAAGTAAAAATGTTCGATAATTTACACTCTCAAGTTTCTAACAGATGGTTTTTAGCATATATCGGTAACTATCGTTGAATTAACAGTTCGTAGAATGTAGAACGGAGTGCTGATAGCAACATATTAAGAGTTATTGTTTTCTTTCAAAAATTATATATCCTCAACCTAAAATAGTGATGTTGATGATACCAAACCAAAATATTCGGTATTTTGAAAGATTACACTTCAAGTGGCATATATCATAAGATGAATTAAAATCTCATCATATTGTAAATTTATCACATCATGAAGCTGAAAAATGCTGAAATAGGAACAGGAACATTTTCAAGGGAAAGTCAGATCCTCACATTTGTTTACTTCACGCTTTGATGTTTCATTTTCACAGTATATTGTGACAACAGTTCGCTACTGGTAAGGTGTTATGATGGTGTCTAACTGTGGAGGCTGTATCCAGCAAGCATATCACGCTGATCAAATCTATCTACTTTAAATCAGCCAGTCGTGTAAAGTCTTATGATGAGTTGTCATCTGAATTGATGATAGCTAGTGGTGTTCGCCATGAATGCCCACTGTCACTTTCCCTGTTTAATTTCCTAACAGATGTATTAATGGATATAAGCTTTAGGCATGTTTTCCTTCACAGGAATTGATCTACTTCTGGAAATCATCTGGCTGACCTGGAATACATAGACGATAGTATCCTGCTAGATGAAGACGAAGACAAAATACACGGTCTTCGGAACATGCCGAGTGGAAGTCTGAGTATGTTTGACGTGCATTCGAACCTGTCAAATATAAGATGATGCTTCAGAGCTGGTTTGGAACGACCCCTAGTCTAATTATAGGAGGTGAAGTTGGGCAATGCATTGACCACTTCACTCACATCAGCCTAAATGAATACAGAAGGCCTGTTTGGCGTTTGCCAACCTGCGTCATCTGTGACACTGACTGACGAGATATTCGATTATCTGTCAGAGGACGAGTATGCTCCGCTGTAGTCAGTTTAGTTCTGTTGTACGGCTATAAGACAAAGCCGTTAAGAACAGAATACAAGAAGTGGTTACCAGTCTTCGTTCAAAAGTGTCTTCATAGCATTGCTGACGTTTGGTGGAATCACCATGTGAGTAATGTTGACGTCAGACGAAGTGAACTGGGCAAGACAGGCAAGTCGACTGAGGAGGTTGTGAACCTTGGTCAAGTGAGATGGCTTGAACATGTATTGTACATACCGAGCCACCACCTACATTAATGCACCACGTTAGAGGAAGGTATATTAGGTCAGTGTAAGGTTGACGGTGGCCAGACGAAGATGCGGTACCGCTGCATGAAACCTCAGATTATTGGTCTGAGCCATTTGGGGAGATGTAGATTACCTGACTAGGGTCCTCGAGACGATAAGAATCAGTGGTTGAGGACTGCTGGTGACATGACTGAAAATCTGTTACAATGGTACAGATGCATTCACTCCTCAATGTCTTCCAAAGCCTGAATATTTACACTAACCGTTATCGTCAAATTGTTTATTCTCTGACACAACTTTTTCTACTTTGATATGAGTATTTTCTATTTAATTGTTCTTTGTGTACTACTTTGAAGTGTGGCAACTTGACCTAATGCATGTGTGTGCAAGGTTTTACACTAGTTTTTCCCCTCTGCTATTGGTGGAGTTTCGATCATAACTTTTGATCATCTAAGTCTCTCTAGCGTTTGCCTACAAGGCTTTAGAAAGAGTAAGTCATTTTATTTTACCATCTTCACCGTTCACTTGCTTAAATGCATCAATTCCAGACTGGATTCAGGCTTCAACTATGAATTTGAATGTGAATCGGAGCAACATACAACTATGCATAAAAAAGCAACAGTTCAGTTCGTTGTACTTTTTGTCAATATGAAAATAGTAAATTGCCAAAAGCAGACGAATGTTATTAGGCAAGAAAAAGCAGAGCAGAAGTGAGTGGTATATAAAGATGCACATAATCTCAACGGTAAAGAGAGGTCCTATCAAGATCCAGTTCGGTCGATAACACTAAGCGTCTACGCATGTATTCTAAACATCTTCAAGATTCTAGTCAAACACCTTACACCTATTTGCAATATTCGAAATACTGCTGGTGTATTCAAGAGTTATTTTCATATCTTTCTTGATCTAGAAATTTTTGCTATACAACCTTGTCAACCGAATTACCTTTCTTCTAATCTTGCACTCCATACTTAACCTCGAAATTACTTGGCATGTGCTACATCTGCGTGTTAGTAGTAATATGAAGATATCTATAAGAGCCTCAACAAATATATTCTCCACCATTTCAACTGCAAACTTTCTCTTCTATCTACACTTACTGGTCACTCCTCATACTTTCACAGAGGAAGACAATAGATTATTAGGCAGTGTACTTTTCCATTTTTGGATAGTCAGATTTCGCTTCAGTGGCGTAAATGGCATAAGTGGATAAATACCAAGCATGTCACGTTCAGGTGATTTGCCTAGCATGACAAAACAGTGTTTCACAGAAAAAAATACTCAAATAATTACTAGTTCAGTGACTGTACTTGCCTTGCTCTTCATCATTTATCTCATCTATTTCACCTGAAAAAGGAAGAGCAAACATTATACGCTTACGGAGACAACAAGTAAATCAATATTAGTCATAAAAGGCATTAATTTGTATAACATAATAAAACGTCAGGACCATATATATTACAGGTAAGCGCAGAGAACTTGTGTACAAAACAGTGACACTGCAGTATTTATAAAATTTAGGTGAAATTTCAAGCCTAGTTTCTATACCCAGCTGACTTCTGTACTTACTTCGGTGGTATATATGCCAAAATTGAAACGACATAGAAAGATTAGTATGGCCCCTGCGCAAGGACGACAGGTAAGACCGTGAAGTGTTCCACATTTTGTTATAGTTAACTATGTCTCTCTGTAGATAACTGGATCCGTGCCATAGTTACGTGTGATAATGTTGACCTGAAGGAAATTATCAAAATGCTGTTAAATGACACTCGGTTTGTGCTACTAGCTTGTGAAAACTGGAAGGCGGGATTTCGGTGAAGAGATAACAGGCCAATTGGGGTTACTTACAATGATGAACCTTTTGTTGGCCTTGCTGGGTTAAAACTAATGCAACATTAAGGTGGCATGGCAAAACGTTCAATTAAAGGTACGTAACTTGTTGAATTTGTATCACGCCTTGTTCTGATCACCGTTCGTTTTCGCCTAACCTAATTCTATGTTACCTAACCTTTTAAGTCACGGTCGGTATCAACATGAAACCTTGATGTTAATGTGTAAACGTTGGAATCCATATAAGTTATCAATGATCATACATGACATGTGGTCCAGATAATTCAGTGAATATCAAAGTGGAGCAATATATTATCAGTCTAGACACTCACCTCCCAACCAGTGACTTAAATGCTTGAATCCCGCCCCTAACTGCGATTTGAGCAGCTAGTTAGTATCAATAACCCTCATACGATAGGTGTAGCTCACTGCCTACTGCATGAATGTACAGTTAGTTGCTGAGTAAGTCCCGACTTTTTTCTAGTCAATATTCAAAATCCTAGTCAAATGACGTGTAAGTGAGGAAAAATACAGTTTTGTGTTATTTTAACTGCAATATATTCCTTTTTTCTACAGACAGTAATAATTTTTCTTCAATGTTTAGTTTAAATCACGCCCATCAGACTAAACTAACATGTTATATGAAGGTTCATACTATCAAGGAAATTTAACATAAGTAAAGTAGACCCTTTTAAAGCACCATAGTTATCACTTCATTCATATTAATCTACAATTTCAGTAAAAAAAGTAAAATTCAGATACATTTTTCTTGATTATATCACTATTTATCTTGCTTACTTCCCATTAATTGAACAAAACAAATTTATTAACAATCCGTTTTAGTCTGAAACCCAAACTCTTTGCACTATACCATATTTATTGCTCCATGTAAGTTGTTCATTACTAAGAATCCTATACTTTTATTCTCACTTTGTATTAGCAAATGTCTATCTTTGCAAATCTAAAAATAAAATACGTAATAATAGGTGTTTTTTCCAAATTGTATTCACAGGACATGGTGTGAAGGAGTGATCATCTTCCTCTTATAAAGATTTATTCAAACTACATAGTTTAATTTTTAGATGAAGCAGTTTTAAACATCTCTGAAATGATTTTGCTCTACAATTAGATAGATTCAGCAAACTATTTTCAGTAATCCTGATCAAATCATTGTCACATAACTACTCTAATAGTTTTATCATTCATCAAGTAGATATTTTGTCATAAAATGAACATTCAGAGAAACTATCACTGTAAATAAACGTCTTAGTGACTATTACTTATATTATTATTCGTTCCTTGGGTTCCTAGTGGAACATAGGGCTTCACTAGCACGTCTCCAGTGAACTCTGTTCTCTGAAATCTTTCCAACCTGGCTCCACAACAACCCACAAGCTCTCATTTCCTCCTCGTAAGATCTCCTCCATGTCACCCTCACCTCAGACGCCCAACTCGTCGCTTCCCATCGCGATTCCAACCAAGTGCCTGGCTTGGAGCGTGATGTCCCCAGTGGGCCTTCTCAGCGTATGCCCAACCCAATCCATCTCCACTTTCGCCCAGTGCATATTTGCTCAACGATAGGTTGTTGGTTGGTTCGTTGCCACGTCAGAGTTCCTTATTGCTTATTCTAATTATTCTGGTAATCCATCTGACCTTCATTAACGAGCCAGCGTATGCGGCAGCTGTTGACGAATGTCTGTAGTTTGTTGGAAATCACTTTCGTAACGCGCCAAGTCTCGGAACCATACAGAAGCACTGACTTGACGTTGGTGTTGAAAATCCGAACCGTGTTCATGCCTAATGTTTGGTGGAGTGCAGAAGATCTCCACACTGCTTTCAGGTTAATGTGGGAAGGCCTGTCTTGCTGTCTTTCCGATCCTGGCTGCTTTGACGTCCTCGTCTGTGCCTATCCTGTCTGTAGTTGAAACAGTGCTGCCTAGGTAGGTGAAGGAGGCAACTTCCTCTAAGTTTCTCCCTTTGATGGTGATTCGAGCTTGTTGTTGTTGGTAGTGATGGTGTTGGTTGGGTATCATCATCACCTCTGTCTTCTCCATATTCACTTGAAGTCCCGTCTTCATTCGCTGCCCTGCCTCACCTCTTCTAACAACTTGTTACTTTTCGCCTGTTGATCTTCCAGTTTGTGCGACAAGACATTAGACACAAGTCATCACCGAAATCCAAATCTTCTAGTATCTTTTCCTTGGTCCAGCGTATCCCCCTCTTCTCACAGTTTGCTGCGTGATCCAGTCCAGTCCATCACAATCAGGAATATCATGGGCAATGGTCAACAGCCTTGTTTTACTCCTGTCTTCACTTCAAAAGCATCACTGAGCTTCCCACTGTGAATTATTGGCTGGCATGTGGCGTCTTCATATAGTTGTTGAATGAGGCTGATAAAGGTTCGCGGAATTCGTAGTATTGAAGCAGTTTCCAAATTACCTCTCGGTCAACGCTGTCGAACGCCGGCCTTCTCAAAGTCGACAAAGTTGAGGTGTAGTTGAGTTGATCGCCATTCTAAACCCTGTCCCATGATGATACAAAGCGTTGCAATTTGATCCGCACATGATTTGTACTTCCTTAATCCAGCCAGCCAGCCAGCCAGCCTGTTCCGGTCGTAGTTTTGAATACAGCGCATCCTTTAGTCTCTCCACGATGATGCGGCTTAATATTTTGCTTGCATTGGGTGGACAGGAGAGTGATTCCGTGCCAGTTCTTGCAAACACTGAGGTCTCCCTTCTTTGGCAGTTTGACAAGGTGACCCTTCTTCCAATCAATGTGCAGGTACCTTCTCTTCCTTCCACACCTTCTGCAATAGTGGTGTGAGCATGTCCACTGTTGTCTCTCCGTCTATTTTCAGTGCTTCTGGTGGGATCCCGTCTGGTCCTGCTGCTTTCTCGCATTTCAGTAGCTTTATGACGTTCAGGAGTTCCATTTTTGTTGGAGGATTTATGTTCACTTGTAGTTCTGTGGCCGGGCTGTAGGTGGTATTTCTGGACGAAGTGCAGGTGGTGGTCGATTCAAGAGCTTCTTGAGGTGGTCGGCCCATTGTTTCCTCTGTTTCTCTTCTTTCGTAATTAAATTTCCGTCATCATCTTTTAATGGTTTCATCTGCGTTGATCTCTTCCCAGATAGTAACCTAGTTATTTGATACAATGTTGTCAGGTCTCTCCTACATGCAGCCTGTTCTGCTTCACTTGCCAGTGTTTCGTAGAAGTGTCTTTTGTCTTTGCGTGCACTCTTCTTCACTTCTTTGTCCAGTGTTTTATGCATTGTGCTCAGTTCCTCTTGTCGTTGAGCATCCTTGCACTGGTTCATCATCTGCTTCACCATCCTCCTCTCCACTATCAGCTTCCAGGTATCCGTCGAGATCCATTCCTTATCTTCTTTCTTCTTCCTTCCTAATACTGTTGTGCAGGTTTCTTTCCACATAGATTTCAAAGACTTCCAGTGTTCTTCCACACAGTTTTCTTCAGGGATGTTCCTCTACATCTCCCATTTTGTCTTGATGGCTGACTGATGTGAAGATTTCCTTTGTAGTTTTTCCCTTCAGTTTCCGAGTGTTGTACTTGAACTGCGGTCTATCACCAGCTTCTTTGAAGGCTTTTAACTTGATTTGGAAGGTTTCTTGCACTAGACAGTGGTGTGAACCTACATCTGCTCCTCTTCTTGCCCTTGTGTCAAGTAGACTGCGTCTCCATTTTCCTGAGATTGAGATAAAGTCGATTTGATTTTTAGTGTGTCCTGGTGTCTGGTGAAATCCATGTCGCTTTGTGGATATCCTTGTGCTTGAACACACTGCCTTACTCCAATTACCAAATCGTTGAATGCGCAGAATTCTGCAAACAATTCTCCATTCTCATTCATTTCACCTAGCGCCTCTCGACCCATGGTTAGTTGTCTTCCTGTGTTGTCCCTCCCCCTCCCAGTTTGGCATTCATGTCGCCCATTAGAATTTTGACATGGTCAACTGGAGTGGGTTCTTGTCCAGTGTTGATTGAAGTTGTCTGTAGAAATCCTCCTTTTTCTCTTGCTCTGCATTATTTGTAGGTGCATAACATTGTATGATTGTGACCTTCCTTCCTTTTGAGTTGAATCTTGCTGTCATGATCCTGGAGGAGATTGGTTCCCACTGCATGAGAGCCTTCGATGCTCTTGAGGACATCATGATAGCCACTCCCTCAGTGTGCTCGTGGTTGGCGTCTGGGTGACAGTTTCGGAGTAGATTATTGATTCTCCAGTTGACAGTTTGGAGAGTCCACTCCCATTCCATCTGCTTTCGCAAATCCCAAGCACTTCGATGTGATACCTTCTCATCTCATTAGCAATCTGGGCTGCCTTGTTGGGTTCAAACATCGTGCGGACATTCCATGTCCCCACGTTTACTTTCGCTTTCATGGAGAGAATATACATCGGCCAATTGGCTTCCTGAAGGCTTTCACCAACTGGCGTCATTTCGCCTCCGATTCCAGCGAGGAATAATTTTGTTTCTATTTTTCATATTTTCTTTGTGCTTTGGAGTTTCTTTAGCGGTTGGACTTGTTTTCCGAGGTAGGGTTGCTAGTTCTATGCCCAACCTTCCCTCTTTATCCGGGCTTAGGACCGGCTATTAATTAGTGAACTAGTTAACCAGACGGGGTCTTAGTAATAACTACTTAAAAAACAGAACGAAAATGTTGTATTATTCAGGTAAAATAACCAAAGTATATAATGATGCATCGTGGCTAGCAGTGGAATCCAGGATGCGTATTTCTTCCTATTTGGGACTTGTCAGCTGGATCTACCTGCTTTCCAGTGAGTTATATTGTTCTTACTGTGACTCGGGAGTGATCGCTTCAAACGCCAGCGCGTAATCCACTACACTACCGAGCCCCGATAGATCAATTCGGTCGAAGCAACGACGGTATCATATAAAAACAATTATGCTCTAGTTATACCCGTCGCACAAGACGTGGCTATCGTGGCTCAGTGGTGTAGTGGATAACACCCTGGCGTCTGGAGTGATCGTTCCCGAGTCCGAATCCCGGTGGTAACAACACTCACTGGGAAGCACGTACATCCAGCCGACGAATCCCAAATAGGATGAAATGCGCATTCTGGATTCCACTGCTAGCCACGATCCATCATTAATATAGTTAGAACGCAGGCAATATCGAGGCATACACACAGGAGCCTATATGCCAATAGACACCGATCTTGATTATGCAAATAGTTGAGTGAGTATTTCTTTTCCCTACCACTTATAATGTACTCATTTCTTTTTAGTGAAAATACTACCCATATGTTTAAGAAACTACTTATAGTCTAGTGAATAATGGAATACAGTTTGGTAGGAGTAAATTAAATATGGAGATTTAGAATTTGAATGATCTAGGAAATGTTATAACATTGTGATTTTATGAAGTTAAATCATAAAAGCACCGAATATGTTCATATTTTGCAAAGAAGTTATAACCATAAAACTGAAAACAATTCAATGAGTTAAAATCAGTAAGTAGGTGACTAAGATAAACAACTATGTAATTAACATGAAACAAGAGCAAATCACATTCACTACTAAAATGATGAGTTGACCACACTATCGTTTTGTACAGAACTCAAGTGTTCGATAAGCTCAACGACGCTTTACTCAACATTAAATTTACAATAGAATAAGCATGACAATGAGTAACATTTAAAAAAACTAACTATATTTTCCTGCTGCATTTTTAACGTGTGGATCGATACAGACAAATAAACCGAAATAATAGGAAATTATTTATAGTTTTCAGTACACAGAAATTAGTTGAAAAAATATTAAGAAAACCTGGCATGAAGTAAATTTAAAGTCATTTTTCATAAGAAGTTGGTAAACAATTGAAAAACAAGAAGGAATAAAAAACTAATTCATCTTACTACTATTCATTGATATTTACAATTTCTTATTGTTACGTCAGTGAGCTGGAAGTACATCCAACTGACTAGTCTCAAATAGGACGAAATGCATACACTGTATTCCGTTGCAATCCACTACCAAATAAATTATTAAGGTCTAGTCTATAACTTTCCAGCAATGTACAAAATTAAAATGAAATGGATCTTTGAACTTAAGGCATCAATAAAAAATAACATTCAGTATAATCATTGAACATCGTCTTTTAATACGGAGACTGTATTAAACTTAGAATAAAACGAAACATTCGGCTAGTGTCACGCTAATTATAATTTATAATCAAAAATTTATTCATTTCAATCAGTTATCCACAAAATATTAAACAGAATAAACAAAATTTGCTAGAATATTTTTCTGAAGTTTGAATTAACTTTTGATGCTAGTTAGTTATACCCTCAGTTTCTGAATGTAAAACAACAATGATGTAAGTGATCAATTCTGAATCAATCAATTTTCCAAATACTTAGTATTTTACTATTTTACAGATATCCCAAGGCAAGATTAAACTGGAAGGTATCAATTTTGAGCGAAATAGTTTCATATGCACATAATCTTTCCAGGCGTCATACACATTTTGCAAGAAAAGAAAAACCAATCTGAGTATTGAAGGTTAATTGAGACAAATGTTGATCTCATGAAGAGCTATAAAAACTTATCCAAGAAATATCACCAGGCACTCGATACTCCCTTTTATATAATAGTAAATTCATTGCTGAAAGAGTGTCTAGTTGTTACTATATGACAATGACAAGCAGGAGGTCAGATGGTAATGGCTTGCAAAATCCACATCACCAACTCAAAACTCTATAAGAAATGATGTCCGAAGACTAGACGAGTGGCTAACCAAAGGAATTATAGTTTGAGAAAGCTACGAGTTTATATATAGTATACTTAATTCATTAAAAATACGACTAAGATACGTTTGAGTTGGTGAGCTAACAGTATCTGACGTCTACTATATACCTAATCACCTTAGATGGACAGTAGTCAAGCGTTAAGCTTAGCCATCTTATAATTATTTTGAAATATTAACCAAAGGTCAAATTTGACTTATAACAAAACGCATGATAAACTTTGAACTCAAAACGTTTTAAAGAATAACTCCCTTTCATAAGATAACAGTGAGTACAAACCTCAACTATCGGAATGAAACTAAAATACAGTTTCGATATAGTGTCTCTTATTATAGACAACTGAACACCAGTCTGACAACCGAGGAGCTACGATTCGGAATCATTTCATAATCAGTATATTAGTTTGAAATTCAGTGACTCTTTAAGTTGAAGGAAATGTTCTGCAAATAAGTATAAGAGGATGCCGTATACGTAGAAATAAATGCAGCGTAAGGTATCTTCATATTCACCATTTAAAACTTCAATTAAGAATAGCTTCGTAAATAAAAAATTTTTTCATATATGGATTCTTCATGAGCTTTTTTTAATTTCTTAGTAATACACTTTGAAATCCGTTTGTGTGAAACTAACCTTTTCTGGTAACATCTTCTTCGTCAGTTTTTCTGGCTAGAGAAATAAAAAATTTCAATGAAATATTATTTTGAACTGGTGTTTCAATTAATATCTCTATATAAATTAGGCTGAATAGTATCTAGCAGGACCAGATGGAATCCCACCAGAAGCACTGAAAATAGACGGAGAGACAACAGTGGACATGCTCACACCACTATTGCAGAAGGTGTGGAAGGAAGAGAAGGTACCTGCACATTGATTGGAAGAAGGGTCACCTTGTCAAACTGCCAAAGAAGGGAGACCTCAGTGTTTGCAAGAACTGGCACGGAATCACTCTCCTGTCCACCCAATGCAAGCAAAATATTAAGCCGCATCATCGTGGAGAGACTAAAGGATGCGCTGTATTCAAAACTACGACCGGAACAGGCTGGCTGGCTGGCTGGCTGGATTAAGGAAGTACAAATCATGTGCGGATCAAATTGCAACGCTTTGTATCATCATGGGACAGGGTTTAGAATGGCGATCAACTCAACTACACCTCAACTTTGTCGACTTTGAGAAGGCCGGCGTTCGACAGCGTTGACCGAGAGGTAATTTGGAAACTGCTTCAATACTACGAATTCCGCGAACCTTTATCAGCCTCATTCAACAACTATATGAAGACGCCACATGCCAGCCAATAATTCACAGTGGGAAGCTCAGTGATGCTTTTGAAGTGAAGACAGGAGTAAAACAAGGCTGTTGACCATTGCCCATGATATTCCTGATTGTGATGGACTGGACTGGATCACGCAGCAAACTGTGAGAAGAGGGGGATACGCTGGACCAAGGAAAAGATACTAGAAGATTTGGATTTCGGTGATGACTTGTGTCTAATGTCTTGTCGCACAAACTGGAAGATCAACAGGTGAAAAGTAACAAGTTGTTAGAAGAGGTGAGGCAGGGCAGCGAATGAAGACGGGACTTCAAGTGAATATGGAGAAGACAGAGGTGATGATGATACCCAACCAACACCATCACTACCAACAACAACAAGCTCGAATCACCATCAAAGGGAGAAACTTAGAGGAAGTTGCCTCCTTCACCTACCTAGGCAGCACTGTTTCAACTACAGACAGGATAGGCACAGACGAGGACGTCAAAGCAGCCAGGATCGGAAAGACAGCAAGACAGGCCTTCCCACATTAACCTGAAAGCAGTGTGGAGATCTTCTGCACTCCACCAAACATTAGGCATGAACACGGTTCGGATTTTCAACACCAACGTCAAGTCAGTGCTTCTGTATGGTTCCGAGACTTGGCGCGTTACGAAAGTGATTTCCAACAAACTACAGACATTCGTCAACAGCTGCCGCATACGCTGGCTCGTTAATGAAGGTCAGATGGATTACCAGAATAATAGGAATAAGCAACAAGGAGCTCTGGCAACGAACCAACGAAGCAAGAACCTATCACCCAACAAATATGCTGTAGAAGAAAGTGTAGATGGATTGGGCATACACTGAGAAGGCCCACTGGGGACATCACGCTCCAAGCCAGGCACTTGGTTGGAATCGCGATGGGAAGCGACGAGTTGGGCGTCTGAGGTGAGGGTGACATGGAGGAGATCGTGCGAGGAGGAAATGAGAGCTTGTGGGCTGTTGTGGAGCCAGGTTGGAAAGATTTCAGAGAACAGATTTCACTGGAGACGTGCTAGTGAAGCCCTATGTTCCACTAGGAACCCAAGGGACAAATAATAATAATAACATTTGTCAAATAAAGTTATCCTTGCATTCACAAGTCCGCTTTAGTTTTTTGACATTTTCATGGCTCATTAAGCAGTTGTTATTGTATTCAATCCCAGTGTTCTAGTGCATTGAGTATTATTAATACCTACGTGTTATTTCACCTGGACACTTCACTCATTTTCACATGTTAAAATGAATGCGTAGTGTCAAGTATGAAAAAAACAGCTTGCTTTCATTTATCTCCTAAAACACGTATTCATAGAGAGAAATATCCTACACAACTTATTTTGGCCATCTAATTGACTGAAAATTCATAATTTAAGCATTTTTACACAAATAAGGGCAGTAGAGAAGCCACATCATTAACGAGCAAGATTTGACAAAAATGTAACGTGTCATAAAAATGTATTGCATTTACCACTGTTAAAAACTAACCTTTATCAGTTTTCATTCCTTCACTCAATGTATCTTGAGGAAAAACGGTTTAAAAAAAGTGATTTATTATGAGATGATTACTCATTAGTGCACAAATGATAAAATGTTTTAACAACGCAAAGTACACTAACGCTAAAATGATAAAAGAAAATCGAAAGAAATTTGACTAATCTAGAAGTGGAAGCTCTAGATAGCCATTTGAAATGATAACAATATGGGAATTAAATTTTGAGGGGGTTGTGGAGATTTGGAAATATTTCAAGTTGTTATTCATCGAAGACTGACATCAGTTGGAGGAACAAAGGATACCTGGAGGAGGATACCTGAGGAGTCCCATACTAGGACGAAACAGCTGTCCAGTGCTCCCAGGTATCCTTTGTTCCTCCAACTGATGTCAGTCTTCGATGAATAACAACTTGAAATATGGGAATTGCTAAATCGGATAAAGATAATTTATCAATGATGTGGGACAGATACGATTACATCAGAAAAGGAAATCGGTATATACAAACAGGATCACACTAACAAATAAAAACAGCCCAGTCGGAAATATTTTGAATAGCATAAAAAATCTTTCGTTGACCTTTTGTGTCGAATGAAGTCATTTCTAGGAGAGTCTAAATCATTTAATTTAATTCTTTAGATAAATAATCCCATGAGTATATATGGTACTTTGAAGATGTTACAAGTCAGCTAGATTGATGAACTCTTGCGAACTTAGACAAAAATGAGATAACTCGAAGCCATTAGATGATAGAAAAATGGTTGATTATGATGCAACCAATCTATACAGTAATGTGCCAATTAATATGGTTTTAGAGTTAGTTAGTAATGAGGTGATCTCTGATCAGGAACACAAACTCATAACCCAGGTGAGAAGTCATTACTGGAGTACAATTATGATTGACTTCTACAATTTTAAGGCTTCAAAGAAAAAGTATATAAATAAATACAAAATAGGTTAAGATAGAATCAATGATATCCCCAATAGTGTCAGACATATTTTTGGATATTTGTGGATAAACAACGCTGAAAATATTTAATCCCTCTCCTAAAATATGCTAAAGATACGTATATGATATATTTACGGTGTTGAGGTCACGGGATATTAACAGATTTTTGACATGCAAATTCAGTTACAGATGTAATTCAGTTTACTTGTAAATTGGAGCGCGATTAGGGAGAACTAGACATGCGACAGTGCAGAATGAAAAGGAGATGAGATCGATTTTCAGATATTAGTATCGACGAAAACCTACGCACTTCAATCGACACTTTGACTTCAGGTCATCTAATCTCATCTCAGTTGAAATGGGTGCACTGAAATGTCTAAATAAGAGTAGAATATCAAGGTAGTAAGACAGGAAATCCTCTATAGGGAACAAGAAATATAAAACAAATTTCGGTACTCAGTAATTATCCCTGGAGAGTGGTACAGAAATGTATACGAAACTGTGATAAAGAGATGAGGAGCCCAGACACAAGTGATATAAATACAAATAATGGCAACACCAAGAAATGAGAGTTCAAAACCTCTAAGTTGTTACCGTATAAGGAAGGTACCTTAGAAAGTTTATACAGGATTCTTAGCAAAGCTGGGATTAAGGTGGCATTTAAGCCTACAAACTTACTAAGAAACAAGCTTTGCAGGTTAAATAATCTTATAGAGCTCACTAGACAGAATAATTTTGCTTGTCAGATCCTATGCAACGATTGTAAGGTCGAATGTATGGGTCACATTAGTCGAGCAGGAATGATTGTAATAAAAGAGCGCGAAAGCTTGACAAAACCTCGAATAATAGAGCCTAGTAAGGTAAGAAATCTAGAGAAAAGCGTAGCTGTCGTGATACATCTAACCACAGATAAGCTCTGTCTTCATGGGATGGAGGAAAAAATAACTTAGTGGGGTCGAGGAAGAGATTACTAGTTGAAGCTTTGTTTGTCAAATCAACACCAAACATATGCAATAGGAATAGTTCAACATTTATTCCAGATACATTAAGACGAGCGATGAGGGCCTTTGAAGTATTTGAATTTCGCCCAGTCGGTGAACTTTAAAGACAATTATCAAGGATTTGAAGGACTTGACTCTATAAGGTATTCGTAGAGGCAGGGTGCTGCTGTCTTACAATCGCCTTTCAACAACTAAACTATTACATATTCTGAACTGCCCACAACTTCTATGCACATTCACGAACGGATAAGTTTTCCTGCTGGTTTTAAATACTCGATTGTCTTTACTTGCTGATCTGTTGTTACACTACTGTATTACTTCTGTATTTTAAATATCTTATCTCAAATCTGTATTATATGAAAAATTATGGAGTTCATACAAAGATTTACTTCTTTCAGTGTATGAGATAAAAATGACACCAGAAAATGAAACTAATAAGTTCTGCTGTAACATTTTTTGGAAACAAAAATGTGTACATTATGACAGGTAGTTTGCTTGATACGTGTGATAATGGTCCCACCACAAAAGCTGCATGGTCTTTACCACTGGTCAACATAAATAACTGACAATGGCTCATATTAATCAGTATTGCCTATAAGTCGAAGTAAGAGAATTTAGATAGTCAATGACAGTTTTTAATATACTAGCTAACTTCAGATACAGAGAAATTAACTTACTTCAGTGGACCAGTAAATATCGATAATATACGAATGTATACAACTTTTTAATGGCACAATATAACTAGTAATTAGTTTTAGCTGAAGACAGAATGTATTTCTTTGTAATTTGCTATATGCTTTCTTCTTATCATGAATCATTATTATTTTGATAGTGCCTATCATTCTCGGAACTTGAATTTTTACTGGTAGGAATTTTTATTTTAATTTAGTAGTCATTTTCGGTTCACTTGCAATTCTTCATCAAGTTGCAAATATATTTAACACTATATTAAATAGTACCGTGACTAAAAAGAGTGAGTATAAGACCTAAAGTATTATTCGCATAATCAGTACTATCTTTAGGAGTAGATAAGTCAACCGAAGATGAGAAAAGAGTTTTGGATACAATTAACTGTGCATAGTCATGTTAAGACGATGCATTTGAAACGTAATCCAGTAAATATTACTGTTCCACTGTGTGACAAACCTAATAAATCAACTGAAATGGAATTACTTTCTACTACAGTGCCCAAATTTTTCGTATTAACACTGTTGCTAGTTAAAAACGAGCAATTCTGTCAATAATTCCCTAGAGGTTGCATTATAATAACTTGATTTCATAATAGAGCCTGTATATAGGAGATGAAGACCAGTCTTGGAAGTCATAACTTAGGAATTTTCGTCGTTGATTGAACCGAATTTGTCAGCCACTATTGGGTTCAAGTCTTAGTGTGCAGAAAGTTGATGGGTTCCAAATGGGACCAAACGTGAGTCCTGGATTCCACTGCTAGCCACAATCCACCACTAATATCAGAGATGAAGACCACTTTGTGTAACACAAAATATCGCAGCCATGGATAAATAACCTACATATCCAGCTTTGACAATCATTTTAACCTAATTGTTGAGAGCAACTTTTATATTTAATGTTAATATGAGTCACGTTAGACTACAGAATTCCCAGATTTCGCTGACAGACTAATAAACTGTAAGCGGCATCATCGATTATGAATAAATAACCCTATCATGACTTCCAAAAACTTTTCAACTTACGACTTTTTTCACTGGTTCCAAGATTATCAAATAATAGTTCTTGAATGCGCTTAACATGTTCTTCATTGGAAGCGCCATGCACTGCATTGCGAAGAATATCTCTACCATAAATTGCTCGTATACTGCAATGTAGGGGGAAATGTTTTTACTTTCACAAAAACATCATGTATTACTTTTGCCTAAACTGTTGGAAAGTAAAACGAAGTGTATTACAAAATTAAACGCCTTATTCAAAAACGCCATTAGAACACCTCCCATTACGTTTTTTTAAGCAAATATAAACGACTAGGTGGAGAATGAAATTCCAGATAAAACTTTGCATTATGAAACAACTAACTGGGAAAGATATTAACGCTGATTACTTCTGAACGAGATCAGGTTGTTCAACGTAGATATCACACTTCATATTATATATATATATATATATATATATATATATATATATATATATATATATATATATATACCTTGGTGAAAATACCAACAGGCATGAGACCTAGGTCTAGAGCTTTTCGCTGATTAACTCATAACATCAAACACGGAAATAGAGTGACCAAAGTATTTTGTCACTTTACAAAAGATCCTCGATAGACTTTGATCAGTTGTAAGCGTCAGAAACTAGACAGCTACATAGCCTGCTATCTACTGACAAATCTGGGAATCAGCAGTTATCAGCACTGGTGAATAGTTATTTTAAGTCGAAATATGATACTTTATCATATTCTATTCTTACATACAGTTGGAAAGTAAACAAATCAGTAAATGGAGTTAGCCAGAAAGATAGAATGTGTAAAAAAGATGTAGAGTAGACTTCACCAAAAACTGCTTCTAACACTCTGGTCATCTTTGGTGTTGTTGTTGAATAAGCAGGCACGATGACAAACGTTGCAAAAAATGCAGTTGTTGAAAATGTGGGGAATCTTGATAGCGGAGGAAGATTTTTCAATTTAAGGAAGGGGATGAATTGAGGAAGACGAAAAATGAAACACAGTGAAACGCACATCTTGAATTCCGCTGACAGCTACTATCCATCAATTATAACAAAATTGGAAATACCGGCAATATCGTGGCATCTGCCGCAAAAGCCAAAATCCCAGTACTGGTCGATCAGTTCGGTTCAATCAGTGACGGAAATTTGCAAGCCATAACATCAAAACTATACCGTACCCTTCATACAAGGAGTAGCCACGGTGATTCAGTGTTCTAGTGGTTAATTAGCACTCTAGAGTTTGAAGAGACTTGGTTCGAGTAAAATCACTTACTGGGAGTCAGGTACATCCATATGAAGAGTCCCGAACAGGATGAAACGAGCGTCCCGGATTCCACTACTAGCTACTATCTATCAATCATGTCAAAATTGACGGCCAAATTCATAAAAAGTAACGAAGTAATCAAGATCTTGAATAAGATAGACAGTGAATACACATCTACTACTAGGATCAGTTTAGGGTTATGTCTTCGACAGTTTCTTATTATTTATGCCTACCATCTTATGAACTCCAAACAAGGAAACCGAGCTTCGAAAAGAGACCTAAAACAACACTTATTGGAGTCATATTTACGTTTGTACATTCGAATAATTCACTCAACGTAGTCATAATAAAAACGAAATGACACACATATTCAATTCCAAATTTAGGCACAGTGTTTTGGTGGGAATGATATTTACAAATAAAGTCAACTTATTGGAGCTGAGGGGAATATGACCAGTCTGTATTACTGTGTTAAATGTGAATGACCGATACAGAGTAACATGCATTCTTATTGTGTTAGTAAGGATTGTTTTTTGTGAAAAAAGTAAACTGCCGATGCTGAAATCTCTACAGCAGCTACAATAACCAGTACCTCAAAATTTCAGTCTATATAAATAAATAAAATACTGATCATTATAGGGAGGATATTAGTATAATATGAAATAGTGGAAACAAAAACCAACATCTTAAACCATTGGTGACTGGTGTAATACTTCGTACAGCAGCTGCTCAATGAAGCCAGTTATTTTAACGTACTGATGTTTCTGACCTTCTGATTTGCAATAATGGTAATAAATTTATCTGTGTTTTTGGATTTTGTAATCAAATAGGCATTCAATTTATCCTTAATACTTTTGTGTAATTTTTGGTTGAATGCTCAAGTTGAAAGATTCGTTGATACTTTTACTTCAGCCATCGAGAAAACCAAAGAGTTTAAATGAATCAGGAATATTAGATTATTTTGAGTTGGTTTTTATCATGAACTGATATGAAAATCAACTTAAAATATCTTCAAATCCCTACAAACCCTAAATTCAATTCTAGATGGATTTTTGTTGAGTTTCTTCTCAATATCAAACTCTTTGTCTCGACATCAGTTATCTCCCATGGAAATAATCGTTTGTCAAATAGTCAAGATAATGGTGGATACAGTCAAACCCAAGCATATAGATAATTACCAGAAACAGATGAAAATGGAGTACTGAGACAATTACTATTTTAGGGATAAAATGATGGATTTTTAGAATAAACCAACAGCTGTATGTTCACGATTTCTCTTGTTCATAAGAAAAGTGGGCTTTCGGGCAAGCAGTCTGAAGAAGAGGAAGTGCTTTTGTAAACACAGTCATTATTCAAGGGTAAGAATGGATAAAAAGCTTGAACCTCAAAAGAGATTTCTGGAAAACAGCAAAAACAAGTAGTAAAATTTGACGCTTTTCATTTTATGTACTTCAAGAGTACAGACTATAAGTTGGTCGTAGTCAGTACCAGTAAGACAATAGATCAGACAATGGAAAGGTTCAAGAAACTTCTGAGTAAATAAATAACAGAAATAATTCATGCAACTTTTACTGAGAAAGGTGATGAGAAGTTTCCTAAGTAGATTTCAGCGCTGGACACTGACACTTTGAACTTTAATTTTAGGTCCATGTTTCTCTATCAGATAGACACACTAAACCAACCCATAACCTCTCTTACAAGTGCATTGCTTCAAGCTGCCACACTTCAAAGTAGTACACAAAGAACAATTGAGTAGAAAAATACTCATATCAAAGTAGAAAAAGTTGTGTCAGAGAATAAACAATTTGACGATAACGGTTAGTGAAAATATTCAGGCTTTGGAAGACATTCAGGAGTGAATGCATCTGTACCATTGTGACAGATTCACAGCCATGCCACCAGCAGTCCTCAGCCACTGATTCCTATCGTCTCAGGGACCCTAACCAGGTAGTTTACATCGCCCCACATGGCTCACAGCAATAGTGTGAGACTTTATACACTGGTGGCACGTCTTGATCTGGCCACTCTGAAGCCTGTTCGAAGCTAGTCCTACTCCTTTTAGCAAGGAGGTAGGTGGTGGCTCGGCCTACGCACTACATGTCCAATCGATTTCAAAACAATCTGTTATCATATGCTTAAAGTTTTGAAAGCCGAAAGACTGTTGAGATTAATAACCTGGGTTGATTCTCTTCTCATCTCATTCAATGCAACAATTTCACGTGAATCTATCCTAAAATGCACGATTTTAGAAAATAATACCCTTATTTTATGGCTAGCAGTATCCGGTATGTTACCACGTAAGCTTTACATGGTGTAACTGACATTACGGATCATTGTTTCGTTCAAATTGTGTGTGGAATGAATCATTTCGAGAGTGATTTCTACGAATTTATTAACTTATTGTACAACTTTTTACATTTATTTCAACAAATCAATGACTACTAATGTTTGTCACGACGCCTAAAGGTTACTTGATGACATACCAGATACCGGCAGTCTATTTTATCAATAGTAGTAGTTTCAAACCATGCGGCTTACCAGTTTGACACAAACCGTATTGGCAGGGAAATAGCTAGTGCGACAAAATTTGCTATTTTTTAAAGGACGTCTTTATTTTTATCTAAATAATTGATTTTAAAGATGCAGTCAAAACTACGCAGTCTTCAGGACACTGTGTTCTAACATAGTACTCTTATGCAAAAGAAATTCAGCTGAAAAAGAGATATTCCCTTTCGGAAACTGTTTTTACATAACTCTAGAATAATCATGAATTCAAATAAAGTACCGTGAATACTCAGTAATAAGATTGGCACGATAGACTTTATTAGAAAGATCAGAATAAATGAGAGCATTCACTAGCTACTTCTGCCCCTATATTATCTTACTTGTCTGATGATTCATCGGCTGCTTTGTTCGGATCTGTTGGCCCCATCATTTGACGCCAACCGGCAATCGCATTCCTTCTTGTCAAAATCATGAACAAAGTTTGACCACTGGAAAGGAAATGAATAAAACAGCTAGCTATGAAATCAACAAAAAGCCTTACACAAAGATGCATTAGCACAAATTATCATACTTCTTAATAGAACAGAACAGTAGAGATAGAAAAGTACTGGAATAACCAAGAAGAAGATGATAGGAAGTAGGACCAATGATTAAAGATTATCAAGATTCACAGAAATGTCAGATCCATGAATAGTGGACTATCTAAACAACTGTAGTTGAATTGAAGTCATTTCACCTAGGATCTCCAACAGCAGGTAAATAATATCAAATGAATTTTCAAACAATGTTGATTAAAGGATATCAACTTATTTTCACATAAAGTGAATCCGGTATGTATTACAAATAATTAGATTTATGCAATTACATTCTTAGTACAATAAATCCATTCAATACAAAGTAGATTATTTTACATCAGCTTACTATCCGTCTCATCATTTTTATGATACACGTATATGAAAATATTATTCATTTCTAGTGTGTTATTTTTCACTCTCTAAAAGAAGAATAACCAATTTATCAATGTTCATTTATCTTCTGTCTTGGCTTCAGCCTACCATAAACAGGACCAGGAATCAACGACGATATCAACATAACACTGATGCAGTAGTGTGTCTTGGTCATAATAAATAGATGTTAGCAAAGTGTGAAATAACGGGACTACATTTTGTTAGTTTAAGCATAAAAATTTGGCGCTATGATACAGTGTAATTTCACATTAGATTTTTTTAATCTGATATAATACTGAGTGATATAGTATTAGTTACTTGATAATAATCCTGGTAGTAATATTATCATATCATTGTGTGCTATATCAAGTAAGCAAAACCTAGGTCTCGTGCTTTTTGGCACTCGCCAGAAAGGTGTACCTGCAACCTCGACGGGACTGATGTCCCGCCTGAGATTGAAACCCACGCCACCCAGTGTTGTAGTCAGCGACTTTACCACTGAGCTATTCGGGTCGTGAATGACCTCCTGCAGGACTGGCTTATCTGTATTGATTAGTCACTGGAGTGCAACAAATTTCATGTGGTCTAGTCCTGAGTGCTCAGTGGTAAAGTCGCTGACTACAACACTGGGTGATACGGGTTCCAATCTCAGGCGGGATATCAGTTCTGTCGACGTTGCAGATACACCTTGCTGACGAGTGCCAAAAAGCACGAAACCTAGGTTCAGGGCTTCCTACCGATTGCCTCCAACCAACTAACATCTACCAATGTGCACCTCGATGCTGAGCTTCCTAGCTTGGTCGTTACATTGGAAATATGATCGATAGAATTCGGTCTGCACTCAGGACTAGACAACATGAAATTGGTTGCACTCCCGTGACCAATCAAAGCAAGCAAAACCTAATATGAAAATCGAAGTAGATGTTTTATTTCCTAAACTATTATTGAAATATATAATCTTTCACAATTTCACTTAAACTGTGTCACGAATAAATATCGATTAGAAAAACTATCAAATAAGGAGTCGCATAGATTATTTGAATGAAAGAAGTAATTAGTATACTGCTTATTTGACTTTTCCACCTTAACATATCGCCGGCGTTAAAAATCATGGTTATATGCTAAAGATCATAAAACGTCCAACTAGTAGTTGTGAATTTAGCCTAGAATAGTTATTCAATAATAAAAATGCAAATCTAAATGAGATATAATAAATCACTTTGAAAATACATTATGATTGAACCAGACAAATTCAATAGAATCTACTAAACCTTTTGTTTGTGTCTTATTCTCTCCATTAATGATTGACTCAATTTCTGTCATAATGAGAAGAACAGACTTGAAAATACACTGATGAGTCTATATTTCAATGTTTCAAGAATATCATAGGTATATTGTATTTTGTCACTTACTATTTGATTATTTGGATGAAAATAAAGGTGAAATTGCCAGAAATTAATTTATATGTGGTAGGAAACAACTAAAATGGACATCAGCTTTTTAAGTTATTGGCTGATGAAGTAGAAAATGTTGAGCTTCATATTTTGATCTATGCTGATATGCAGTCAGGACAAATGTTATTGGAAGATTTCGTAGTTCACATCATGAAGCCGATTGAGATAAATTATTTTATCTTTGATCTAACGCATTTCTGTGTTTGTGAAAACTATGTGTATGACTGATTTCTTCCTTATTTTTAATCCCTTATCTTGATACATTCTCGCTTGATGTGAGATATAAGGTATGGCAACCTGGACCATTACTCAGTAATCCCAGGTTCCATTTTGATATTATTTATCTGTCTATCTAACTATTGAGTCACCAAGAATCGAACCCAGAACCTTCAGGTTTTCCAGGCAACCACGTTACTGTTGAGCCACTGAGTCAGAGTTTAGCCGTCCACATTTTTCTACCTCTATCACTTCACAATGTTGTTGTTAAGTTTGATTTGGTACCCCCATCCCCATCGGTTATGACTTCGTGTTAGAACTTCGGGAAAACTCATCTCGAAACACTTTACCGATGAGCACTAGACCATTATTTATTTTGGAGGTTTGTTGTGGGGATTTTGTGATCTGGGTCAGTTCTGGTAATGGGTAAAAAAGAGGATGAATCGTAGCATTTTAGAATCTGTCTGTAGTAACAAGCAAATTTTATTGAAATGTGATTAAATTACTCTTCCAATATACGCTTATTTTGTTACCCAACTTCAATACACAATTATTGTAATAACAAAATACAACAAACCAACCTTGTCATGTGATTGATCAAATCATTGTAAAATGGCTTATCAGCACAATCCTCATATAACTTTTCAGCTAATTCTTTTGTAAGACTTGTTTCTTGACGTGCTGCTACATGAAAACCAGCTGACTTTATTCGTTCAATAATTTCATCTCGATTAGCATAAGCATCTGGTTTAATTGCTGCAACTGTTGTCTCAACTGGGAAGAAGAAATTTAAGTCTCGCTCCACTTCACTCTCATTGGCAGAACCATGTAGAAGATTAATTTCTCCACTTTTCACATTAAAATTATCTGTTAATTGCTTTGGGACAAACCTAGCTCGTAGTGATTCAGGAGCTGTTGCTTTAGCATCATCAATTTTCGTTGGGCCTAACATTTCTTTCCACTTAGAGACAGCATCCTATTTTACAAAAATGAATTTAAAACTGTTAATTGAACTCAATCTGTGAGAAGAATTAAGCATAAAAGCCATAGATTTATGAAAAGCTAACAACAAGCAAGTATGAACTTGAAAGCTTATTCATAAATACATTTTTAGGACAAATTTCTTCGGAAATTTTAAGGTGTTTTAAGTTTGGGACTATTAATTTTGATTCAGATAAAAAAAGTCATTCAATATTTAGTTTATCTTTCCAACGGTTTCTCCCCACTATTTTACAGCATCAAAGCTGTTCTCATTTATAACTTCACTGACAGATTAACTCAAGCTTATAGCTTCTTATATTAGCACTGTAACTTTTGAAACATTATTATGAGAGCCTTTTACCTAAATATCTAATTGTTCCAGACGTATTAACTAGATATTCATTATCGATGACTTTTAGTGGCTATCATGAAGAATGACTATCTGAAATTTTGAAAGGTCTTTTGTGATGCAATCGAACCGAAGGTAGTTTAGACCATACGATCCCATGAATAGCATTTCAAACGTTAGTTTACTGGATATGAGATCTTAGAGTGAAAACCGTTCGGTCAGCAAAAATATCAAAAAAGCACCACTCATCTTATGCTTTCACATTCTGACCAATCAGAAATTGATGCTTAAGGGAAAAAATATTACTGATTCCTAATAAAACCATCAAAATAGAGAATAATTATTCAGTAAGTCAGGAGATTTCTATCTAGACATTAGGCTTATTTCAGTTTTAAATACATGTATCAGTCATTCAAGCTCGATAAGACAGCTCTGATCATTACCTAATTACACTAATTTAGCACTCGATTAAGGTACCTTAAAGAGTTACATAAGTACTGAAAAAATCACATAAAAAGTTTATTCAACTGTAAAAAAGGTCTGCTTACTTCTCTGGCTAGAAGTAAAGCTAGGCATGGACCACTTGACATTACTACTGTTAGCTCTCCAAAATATGGTTGTCCTATATGTTCTTTATAATAGTCTTCCACTTGTTCCTTAGTTAAACGTATCACCTTCTGCATCGCTATCGTAAATCCAGCCTTTTTAATTTCTTCTAATATTTTATCTTTATATAATTCGTAGGCTTGTGGACGTAATATGGCAACTGTACGTTGAATTCTACCTTTTTTACCTGCATCAATTTGTTCAGTAGATGTTTCATGAAGTAGACGATCACGTTTCACTGTTATAACTGGTGGTTCGTAACCTGGATAGAAAAATGCCAATTCTCTGTTGTTGTTTTGCACGGTTGTGTTTCATGAAATGTGTATGATAAAAAGAAAGGAATGTGATAGTTTATTTTGAAAACAGTTATCAAATGTTTGCTAAACTACGGTCACCTTAATATTGATTTGTAAAAGGAAAAAGAGAAAATAAACCAGCTTTAGAGGAAGTTGTAACAAGAAATTAACTTGTCAGCTGATAGAAATCCGTAAGAAGTAGGAAATCCTTTACCTAGGTTTTGTGATTGTAAGGACTCATTCGCAAGATGTATTTGCTACCTCATGATCTCAGATACACAAACTCGTATAACTTAGTGCTATAGTCAGAAAAATTACTACTGGGCAATCCCGGTAGCAGATTACACTTTCACGGTTAAATGGCTATCTAATCCATAAATTAACCTCATCAGGTTAACTAGTTCACTAGTTAATAGCCGTCCTAAGCACGGATAAAGAGAGAATACTAGGCATAGAGCTAGTAACCCTACCACGGAAAACCAATCCAATCTCTAAACAAACTTCAAAGCACAAACAAAAATATAAAAATAAAACAAAACTTATTCCTCACTGGAATCAAGGAGACGAAATGACACCGGTTGGTGAAAGCCTTCGAGAAGCCAGTTGGCCAATGTATCTTCTCTACTCTCGATGAAACCAAAAGTAAGATTGGGGACATGCAACGTTCGCACCATATATGAACCTAGCAAGGCTGCCCAGATTACAAAACAGATGAGAAGGTATAGCATAGAAGTGCTAGGAATCTGCAAAACCAGATGCAATGCAAGTGGACTCTCCAAACTGTCAACTACAGAGTCAATAATCTACTCTGATATCGTCACACAGACAACAACCACGAGCACAGCACACTGAGTTTTCGAGTGGCTATCATGATGTCCCAAACAGCATCAAAGGCTCTCTCTCACGCAATGCGAACCAATCTCCTACAACATCACGATCATCACAGCAAAATTCAACTCAAAAGGAAGGAAAGCCAAAATCATACAGTGCTACACTACATACCTACAAATAATAAGGATCAAGAGAAGGAGGAATTCTACAGACAACTGCAATCAGTACTGGACAAGACCCCACACCAGATGGTGACATCAAAATCAATTCTAACGGGTGGCTTGAATCCCGAACTCGGGGCAGACAACACAGGAAGAGAACTCATCATGCGTCGGGAGGCGCTCGGTGAAATGATGAATGAGAATGGAGAACTGTCTCCAGACTTCTGCGCATTTATGATTTGGTGATTGGAGGTAGTGTGTACAAACACAAGGATATTCACAAAATGACATGCATCTCACCAGACAACGGAACACACTAAAAATCAGATCGACTTCATCTCAATCTCAAAAAGTGGAGACGCAGCTTACTGGACGCAAGACCAAGAAGGGGAGCAGATGTAGGTTCATACCACTCACTATCTAGTGCAAGAAGTCTACCTTAAAATCAAGTTGAAAGCCTTCAAAGAAGCTGGTGATGACAGACCACAGTTGAAGTTCAACACCCAGAACAGAAACTGCACTGAAGGACGAAACTACAAAAGACATCGTCATGTCAGTCAGTCAGCTATTAGGAAAAATTGGGAGACATTAAGCAGCATCCCTGAAGAAAGCTACCTAGGTGGAAGAACACTGGAACTCTTTCAAAGAGATGTGGAAGGAAACCTGCATAACCGTGTTAGGAAGGAAGAAGAAGCAAGACAAGGAATGGATCTCCACGGATTTCCACATGGAAGCAGAACATGAACCAGTGCTGTGCTGTGAAGTGCAGTGCAGTGCAGGGATGAACAACGAAAAGGGGAACTGAATACAACATAGAAAACACTGGACAAAGAAGTGAAGAACATGGCATGGAAAGAAAAAAGACACTTCTACGACACATTGGCAAGTGAGGCAGAACAGGCTGCTGGTGGTGGGAGAGACAGAGACCTGAAAACATTATATCAAATAACCAGGTTACTATCTGGCAGAGATCAACACAGATGAAACCAATGAAAGGTTTTGTGAACGAAACCTAGTTACCAACGAGGAGAAACAAGGGAAACGATGAGCTGACCACTTCAGAAAAACTCCTGAATCGACCACCACCAAGACCCACAGTTCGTCCAGAAATACCACCAGTAGCCCAGCCACAGTATTACCAGTGAACACAAGCCCTCCGACAAAAGTCGAATTCTGAACGCCATGACGCTGCTGAAATGCGGGAAAGCAGCAGGATCAGATGGAATTCCCCCAGAAGCACTGAAAACAGACGCAAAGACAACAGCGGACATGCTCACACCACTATTGGAGAAGGTACCTGCCCATTGATTGGAAGAAGGGCTACCTTGTCAAACTTCCAAAGAAGGATGACCTAAGTCTTCGCAAGAACTGGCCCAGAATCGTGCTCCTGGAGGGACTTACAAATGCTCTCCACTCAAAATTGCTACCAGAACAGGTTGGCTGGCTTCAAGAAGAACAAATCATGTACGGATCAAATTGCTACGCTACTCTATACTACACATCATCATAAAACAGAGCATAGAATGGCAGTCACCTCAACTCAACTCTACCTTAACTTCATCGATTTTGAAAAGCCCATCTATCAAGGCGTCATCTGAGAAGTAATTTAGCAAGCAGCTGCTTCAACACTACGGTTTTAGTGCCACAAACCTTTATCAACCTCATTCAAAAGCTATATGCTACATGGCACTACATACCAAGTGATTCACAATGGAAAGCTCAGTGATGCCATTGAAGTGAAGACAGGAGTAATACAAGTTTGCCGCCTACCACCACCGATGATCCTCCTGATTGTGGTTGACTCGACTCGACTCGACTTGACTGGATACTGCAACAAACTGTGAGGAGCAGTGAGAAGATGGGCATACTCTGTTTGACCGATGCAATGAAAAGAGCCTAGAAGATTTGGATTTCGCCGCCGATGATGATGATTTATTTCTAATGTCTTGTCGCACAAACTCGAAGATCTACAGGCTAAAACTAACAAGTTGGCAGAAGAGGCGAGGCAGAGCAGAGAAGACGGGACCTCCTCCAAGTGAACGTGAAGAAGACGGAGGTGATGAAGATACCTAACCAACAACAAGAACAACAACTACAAGCACTAATCACCATCGACGGGAAGAATCTAGAGGAAGTTGTCTCCTTCATCTACCTACCTAGGCAGCATCGCTTCAACTACAAGCGGCGTGTCGGTGGCACAGATGAGGAGGTCAAAGCAGCCAGGATAGAAAAGACAGCAAGACAGGCCTTCATTAATCTGAAACCAGTGTGGATATCTATTGCACTGCACTCAGCATGAAGCGTGAAGAAGATCCTGATTTTCAAAACTAATGTTAGTGAAGTCAGTGCTGCTACATGGTTCAGAAACTTGGCTTGTTACGAAAATCATTTCCAACAAACTACAGGTATTCATCAACGGCTGCCGCCTATGCTCACTCGATAATGAAGATCAGATGGCCTGAATAATAAGAATAAGCAACAAGGAACTTTGACTGGGAAGGAACCAACCATGAATCCATTGCCCAACAAATGTGCAAAGGAAAGTGGAGATGGATTGGGCATACATTGAGAAGACCGATTGGGGACATCATGCACCAGACCAGGCACTCGAGTGGAACCCAAATGGGAACCGAAGAGTTTGGTGTCCGAGGGTGACATTGATGAGATGGTGTGAGGAAGAAATGGAAGCCTGTGGGCAGTTGTGGAGCCAGGTTCAAAAGACTGCAGAGAAAATAGTACAATGGAGACGTGCTACTGAAGCCCTATATTTCACTAGGAACCCAAGGGACAAATAATAAAAATAATAATAACCGATAAACCGTATGAGATAATACAAAATATGGTATACGCGTCTCTTCATGATATTGAAGTAAATAAGGACACATGAGACTTATCAGCAGAGAATTGGATACAAGAGCAGAAGCCGTGCAAATTGCAATTAAAATAAGAAATAATTAGGGCGGTAACAGAAAAATTTCTTCTAAATTTATAACAAAACAAAGTGAATCCACGTGTTCGTAGTTAATAACTTCGGCTGTTTCATGTAGCATCTCTAGCTTTGGATTACTTGGAATCCAGAAATGCCATCTTTCCTAACATAACTATGGAAAATATTTGATGTTGTAGGGGATCTCTGAGAATTCCAACATATCCTTGATCTTATCAAAATTAAGCACACTGATAGGATTGATTGCAATTTTTACAAATACTAGATGACCATAAATTAGCGTTCAGGCTAAGCAGTCACCCTGACTTCATAAATGAAGGATAAGATATGTAGCAATCTTGTTAATAATACGATTAGATGCAAGTGTTATACACAAACTATTAGGTATAAAAGGTGGTTTTGCTTCCCTCTTAACCAGAAAACAAAATGTCTGAAATACAACTTACTTCTCACCTTTCTATAAATGTACGTACGCGAGAAATACTGTTTTATAGGCTAGTAGTATGTGTCACCCGTTAGACTTTAGTTTTGTATGGAGTTAATAGACACAGATATGAATAATAACGAGTAAACTGTTGAATACAAGACTGTGAGGAGCGATTTATAGGAAACCATCGGTTACATCATGAAGTGAAGATCATTTTCCACGAGAAAGCCTTAATACATTTGAGGTACCAGTCACTCAAACTAAATTTTCATGTTAACGAATTGGATTAGAGCATTTAAAAATATAAACCACAGACTCACACAACGAAATCCGCACTAGAAGGAAGTGGTTATAAGTCATAATCATGATTTCCTGCAGCTACTGAACTTAGGTGAAAGCATTTTTACCGAGTAGACTGAAAGGTCAGACAGATACAAGTCTTTACGTACATATGTAATTCACACACATTACAAACTAGTTGATACTGTTCTTAATAAGTTCATCAAAAACTGGGATCAGCTGTATATGAAATTAGCTAAATCTCCTCATATCCCACTTTACGACTAACTGAAACTACACTCATAAAACTTTATACCGTAACGAACAGCTTCACTTACTGAGAATTTATGGCAAAGCTTAAAAAGAGAGATAGTAAAGATATCTATAAGTTTCACTGAATATTATGATGCTTCAGCTTGACTTTGATCCTTTAGCGTAAACGTTATCTTCACTTCATTTGAAGTAAAGAGGATTGGAAAAATACCAACGTGTTATTCAATTATCGGTCTGCATGTAAAAAGATTTAGAGATATTATCGAAAACTATTTCAGCTCATTTGATGATAAAAGCCTGAAATGATGAATGGAGTTGCATAACTGAGGTCATCATTGTTTCTTCTGCCTGTTGAATTGTACGTTCATTTCATAAATCAGATGACTAACTAAGCAGAATGCAAGACATATCACTTGTTAGTATTCAGTGATGGTAAGGGCAGCATTACGCACCTCACATGTCATAAAGAAATAATTTCAGCAATAGATTATGTTTCAGTAGATGATCTTATTTCCTGTGTATGTCAAAGTGTGCAAAGAGAAGATGAGACATAAGAATCACTTTATCAACAAAATATGATATGGGTCTGATAAAATCTACCATTCTCATTATTCTTGCAATGGTTTGGAATAACCATAGGAAAAATAATGTAGAAAAACTGCATATAAACAGTAGGCATCCACATAAAATTACTCTTCAGTCTAAGAAAAACCATCTCGAATCTTTCTGTTTTCCTTTGTGTTATGGATACTTTCATCATACTGACAACACAAACAGATAGTCATAGACATAAAAAAGTGAAAAATCACCAAACGGATTAGCAATTCAAGCTTCTACAATTCACTAATCACATCAGTAGGTAGTAAAGGGCAACGAGAATATTGAAGAAGTTGAAAATAGTATGTGTAGAGTGATGAACTGAACAAGACTTAGATAAATTTCAGGAATATCTTCAACTACCAAGAAACAGACTTTTTCGACAATAGTAAAATAATACAATAACTTACTTTGCAGCCTCTTCTTTAGAATCAGCAGCATGGATAGCATTTCTAATTTTTCCAGATGCATATTTTGCCCTTAACCTGAAATAACAACATATTCATTATTTGTGAACATTAGAAATTAAATTGCAGTAATATATGTACATATTACACGTAGCAAGTTCGGAAAAATACTAACTTGCTTGTGAAGATGCTTTCACAGCGTTCAAATGAGTTATTTGCGAAATCTTACACACAGATACAACAGAAATAGATGGGAATCATTCTCATACTTATAAGTTTAGAATCGTGAATTAATGACAACATGAGACATTTCTCTGATACCTGCACTATGAGGTGAAGAATCTGTGCAAGTGATACCAAACATTTGAATGAAGTCTACTCACGAAAAGCTATATCAAAACGAAAGCAAACTTTAAACTGGATAGTAGGTCTTCATATAATAAAATATAACCTATTCAGAAAACTGCAGAAAAATTACATCTCCTGATTTATAAATCTTTTTATTGAATTTTTGAGGGAGTTATGGGGATTTGGAAATATTTCAAGTTGTTATTCATTGTAGACTGACATCACAGCTCCCTCAAAAATTCAATTGAACTGGTGTTCATTGGTGACTAGCTTCGAGTGGTATTCCCGAAGTTCCAGTGAGAAGTCATGACCGATGGGAGCAAAGCCTGATGGTCGTGAAGACAGTTACTCAACGGTGACATTGGGTTGCGGTTGCACTATATCATGAGCTAACAGAAATTGGAAATATGGACCGTTGGGTTCTGACCCAGTGGCTTAATGGTAACGTGTTGGCCACGGAACCTGTAGGTCGTGGGTGCGCACTACTGAGGAGTCCCATACTAGGACGAAATAGCTGTCTAGTGCTCCCAGGCTTCCTTTATTCCTCCAACTAATGTCAGTCTACGGTGAACAAAAACTTGAAATCTTTTTATCATTAATTGATTTGTCACAATGTTTCCTAAGAATTCTAAGATTACGTATCAAAGTGTACGAATTAGGTCTCAATTTTCCAATAGCACTAATAGATCTGAATGTGAACTGATTCATCCGTTATGAACAACAGAAATTTCAAATTGTAGTGTGTCATGGAAACGACATGTTTGTACTATAAAGCTGAATAACTACACTGATAAAAATAATGAATGTGTAAAAGCCAGTACAGTTTTATAAGATAATTTTAGTAAAATGTATTAGATATTTTTCAGTATTTGGAAATACATGCTTTGCCTATTGATATTCGTGTAAATCATATTTGTACATCCGAAAATAGTCCCCTTCCACTAGAAATCCAAACATCTGATACTAAGTGCTGGAGTGACAAATATGCTTGGGACGGTACTCATCGTGTATATCTTCAAGCAGCACACTGAATTGATGCATAAATGTAAATTAGTGGTTAGACAGCATTCCTAAAACAACAAAATTTTACAAAACGGTTAACACTGAAGGAATAATTTTCAAATACCTGGCGCATTATATGTCAAACTCAAAACTATCATTTTCTCTTATTCATTGTTATCCAACATACAGCGTAGCCTTTCTGCTAAAAAAAAGTACTGTCGCCTGTTTCATGCAAACGCAGCTTGATAATTGGGTGTAGATATGTGCTGTAGTATATCAGCCATACCTGTTTGGATGCCCAAGCTTCAGCAGGTGATCCAAACTTCATATCTGTAAATTACTGGTTGAATTTCAAATACCCAAGGTAATTGGTCACATATGCACTTGATTTGCTGAGAATACCAATGAAGTTTGCGTTACAAAATATTTTCGGGAATTTAAATTTATGTTAAATCACAAGCACAAATAAAGTTAAAAACTACACAATCCTTTTGCGTAAAGCGATCTCAGATTAAATAGGATGAGAGGTATTTATAATGTTAGATGTGCTCTGACTTTCACTTCTCATGCTGATATTGACTAACTTCATTGATTTGTACTACACATGTGCTTATACACATATCTATGTCAGTCTTGCCTCATATTTTCCACCCAAACGTATTTAGAGCTGCTGTAGTCCATACGGTGGAAGATTGTGGCTCCTTCCATAGTTGTTGGACAGCTATCACGCTTTTGCCTGTGCCGAAATGATTGTGTGAAAACTATAGCAACAAGATGATTGTGAGTGCTTCTTGACGATGAGAATACTAAGGCCACTTTCAACGAGAAACTGGCGAAACAGTTATCTGGACAGAACAACTTCACTGATCCAGAAGAAGCTTGGAGTCATTTCGTGTCTTGCAAGAAAGGTGTTGGAGAACGTAGATGACTCTGAAAAGGTTGTTAGAAGGAATTATTAGGTCTTAGCAGCTTCCTCCCAAATTAACGAGTGCGTGATAACACAACATTGCAGACACGCTGCACAAGTGTAGACTGACGAGAAGTCTTCACAATGACTGATGGCAGTGGTGGGTCGTAAAGTCTAGAAAGATTTAAAAGGCAGAGATGATAAGTAACAGTAGAAGGTTTTTCTGACCTACCAAGGAAACTGTGGCAAAAAGGTCAATAGCTAGTGAGAATATAGAGGAAAAGGATGGATCTGCGATTCAGTCAGAGAGGGCATGACTGGGCATGTCTGTTATCCAGTCGGATACCAGAAGGAAAATTGTGGTGTTAGGAGACTACTGGTCAAAGTAACTGAAGTGTGGAATAGTCTGTGCAAATCAGAAATAATCCTTTCTGACACATTGCAATTACCTATAATTCCGGTCATCAAGAAAGAGGAGAAACCCTCTTGTGATAACCACAGAGGAACCAGTTTGACGAATGCAGTTTCTATGGTTCTAGATTGTATAATTGTCAGGTGTCTAAGTGGAGCTCCGAAACAGTAAACTCTGTGAAATCAGACAAGTTTAAGACCTAACTTTGAGTTCATTAATTAGATATTCACCTCCAGTTAGGTTCTAGAAAAAAAGTGTACTTGCTAAAGTCTGAAACTAGCCGTACTTTTCTATCTGAACGCAGCATTTGGTACTGCAGGCGTAGAGGTGCTATGGCAGCATCTGTCACTGAAGGGAGTGTCGAGTAAGTACATCATTCTATGAAATCTGTGTACTAGAACACTTTGGTTAGTGATCTGAGGAAATTTGGGTTCGCTTCTTCCCAACCAGTCGAAACGTTTACCTTAGCAGTGGTGTCCGGTGTTGTTTTTTCAAGTTGGAAGTGAAAAGGTTAAGTCCGTCAGTCAGTTCACGTAGATCAGACGTTGAACCAGCCCTGTTTGGTCATTTACCGATGAAATCTCTGTGTGAATACAAGAGGCGCTTTTTATCTCCACCAATTTGTGTCATTCTGGAACCACTGTGATATCTGATTGTTTACCAATGGCTGAGTGTACTGTGCTGAAGTGTGCTTTGTTCTACTATATGCTTGTGAGACATGGCCAATAAAAGTACAGAACATGTGAAGGCTGTAGGTGTCTGAACACCGTTGCCTTCATAGCATAGGCCATGTGTCGTGGTGCAACCACATCAGTAACGCAGAAGTCAGGTCTAGAGTTCTAGGGTAAAGATGAAAATCAAGCGATGAGGTTGTGAACCTTTATCGACTCAGGCGGCTGAGATAAATATATTTCACGCTCATCTGCTATTTACCTCATTACATTCTGTTAGGTCAGAGGTGACAAAAAGAAAACATGGCATCACTGCATGAAGTCACTGACTGCTGACTTGAACAATGTTGGGAGATGTAGACTAGCCGTTTGGGGTTTGTGTGACAACAGAAACCAGTAACTGGAGATTCTAAATGATATAGATCAGAATAGATCTTAGTGACACATATGTATTCATACTTTATTTTCATATTAGTTGTCTGACTGGACTTTGGTATTCTTTCACTCCCTTTTGCTCTCTTTTGGTGACTTTCTACCACTATTGACTGCTGTTTTCTTTATTTTTCATCTGGTTGCTCCCTCATTTGGTGTGCTAATATGAGGTATGGTAACTTGGAAAGCTGTGCAGTTTCTTCAGGACTCATGGTGATACCTTTTTGTTTTAGTCCCCACGAATTTCACACCAAACAAATGATATTTAGCCCACTTACTGATAAAACCTTGAAACAAATTATGCCTCATTTATAAAACCTTTAACGCGTGTAACACCTTTCAAAATGATCTTGGATTTTGGATTTCAGAGGCTTTATTTGATTACTAATTTATAAATGCAGACTTATCCCACTTATTCCACTGCTGTCGGCAGTCTGGTTGATGGCCAGCACCGGATATTTGATATGAAACGGACCTAAAGTCCCCATAAGGTGATCGGGCAAAGCACATAAATTCATTGATACTTAACAAGTGATTTATGAAGATATACAATTTACGTGGTTACATATCAAATGCTAGAAGATACTATTCGAAGACTGCAGCTGAAGCAACTCGAAACATATAGTCAGGGCAGGAATACATTCATAACCTAGAGTAATTAAAATCATATCAATTTTAGTTTATTTTCCCACTTAATCATGTACTTTCTGTTACGCAGGTAAAAGTACTTTGATTCTGGCTAATTTACCTTAACTAAGGTAAGGATCTGCGGTAATTTAAACAGATACACTTCATGCAAGTATTAACAGCCTTTTTTCTGTCTCTCTGTATGGATACAAATGAAAGAGTAGTTTGATAATTATTATGTGAAGCGTACGACAACCATTGGAACTGATTTATTTCCCTTCATCATCTGAACTGGGCCTCTGTACTTCAATGGGATAGTGAGAATGATAAGGAATAAGTGAAATCAACTACTGTAATGTCTGCTTAGTTACCCTAGTAACAACCTTATAATAAGTTGAATAACGTCTTAAGTCCCGTATGGTTGGCGTGTGCTTACCATTATTACCAGTATAACTTCTTAGTAAAGTTTTAGATAAAAACAAAAGCTTACGTTTCACTATATTCTCCAGAGTCATCTTCCAAAATAGACGGCCCGATCAACCCTCTTAGTTCATCAATAACTCCTTGATTTCCTTCCAGCGCACAGACTAGTATTCTACTTGGACCAGATGTCATAAATTCAACCAAATCCTGAAAATATGGTTGATCTTTGGAGTTTTCGTAGAATATTTCAGCCTCTTCTGTGGTAAACAAGTGTTCTTGTTGTTCAAGTACTTCAACACCTTTTTCTTTAAGCTAAAACTTTATTCAAAATGGAAGATAAGAGGCGTACTTCCTCAATTATCTGTTCTGCTAATCCAGCGGCTACAATATCAGGTTTCAGGACAGCTAGAGTAACTTCTTGCTTCACCTCTGCGTTCATACATAATGTTGAGAATGAGGCTTTTGTATCATACCTTCTTCTCCTTCCCTCTTCGTCCTAAGCTCAGTTTCTTCTAGTTCCTTAGCAAGCACCATGGGATCACGTATCTGAAATTCCAATATTAGGAGTTTTCTGTGTCGCGTACTTCGACTCTTCTGGCTTCACCATTTAGTACATCATGCTCCTGCTTCAGTTTATCGAATATACATTTTTCTAGAAGTGGAGGATTCACTCCTTTAACCGCAGCTACAAGACAGCCACCCTGATGTGTCATAAATATTGTAGTGTCATACCCCGTAAATCAGGAAGTATGGTTCACACTTCCCTCTATAGAGGTGCAAAGCTTCAATGTTGTCTGCTTTAGCTGTGGCGAAGTGCAACAGATCGTCATTAATCTCTGTTTTGAGTCGTTTGAACAACCCCAAAACGGCTGAACAAGGACCACACCAATCTTGGTAGACATCGACAACTGAGATGATGCAATATTTAAAGTATTTAACAAATACCTGTAAGGCCATCTTTCTCAAGGAATGCATTCCAACTGTCTTGATCATTGATTTCATCTTGCAATGCAATTTCAACCCTTCTTTTGGCCATTTTAAAAGTTCTGACTGATATAGAGTTCTAAGTTGTCATAACAGTTACCAATTTAAACAAACTTGCTTCAACTCCAAACTTCAGTTAGCGAAGTGGCAAATGATTTAATCAGGTCACATTTTGTTTAGCAAGTGAAATGTATTCAAGTAAACAGCTGAAACTTCCAGTTTTGGTCTCAAGAAAACTGAAAAGACGAAAATATTTATTATCATTAATAATTTCTCTTTTAATAATGATACTGCTCATGACATTCATAACTTCGAGAAGCCCCTACACTATGCCTAATAAGTACTTTGTGACTTTTAGTCGACACTCGATCTTCCTTCGAAATCACGAAGAGAAACCGTAGAAGATGCTTAGGATAATAATCATTAAGTTTGTAGCGTCACACACTTCCCCAAAATCAATAGCCTAGGGTTTGACGAGATTCAACATTGATGCTGACCTTGATAGTTTAACTGGACTCGCTAAGCTGAAGGCACCCGGTCAAGCATCCTCGCCATTTGGGACGCTGCCGTGTTACGTTGCACTGCTCGTAGTCGACTCTCTAGCCGGCAAGCTGGAACTGATCGGTGTCTTGGCATGACCTCGCGAATATACTATTCCATCCGACTACGCTATTGTGTTCGTTCTTGGTCCCGTATTCGAGGGTATATAACAAGTCCGAATAATCAGTTATTAGTCTTTGCGTCTGTCAAGTTCGCACCAGGACAAATCCGAAATTGGTGGGCCCGACGTGATAACATATCCCGACTAATGGCAGATATTGAATTGGTGAGCTTGTTACACTTTATACTTGCACATTGCTTTCATTTTGACAATCATTATGTATCCACACACGACTCTTTCTCACGTCCTATCACACTTCGAAGCTTATCCGCATTAAGCCGACTACGAACACGATCCAACTCGTGCCAGACAATGAAGAAACATGGTTTCTGTATGCCGAGGCAGATTTTCGAGAACAGGGTGTCTCAGATCCTCATTCTCGATTTCTTGCCGTCATACGTTCACTACCGCGGGAATTAAACAAACATGGTACGGCACGCATGTTTAACGCTGAAGTAAGTGATGCTTATGCACCTCTCAATGCTGCTCTCCTGAAGAGAAGTGATCTCATAGATCTCCAGTGCCTAGACGAATTACCTCGTAACATCGAGCAAGGCAGCCACTCAGCTACTGAAGTCCTCGCACGCATGCGAGAAGTTATCGGTGCACGAACACTCAACAGTGGCCTTTTCCGAGAACTGTTTCTCCCAAAACTACCACAACCGCTGCAAACCGTGTTGGTGACACTGCAGTCAGTCCCACTCGATGACCTGGCAGCCTCAGCAGACAAAATACTGGAGATTTCTAGCAGACCCGTCTCCAACGTATATTCTGTCCGCGACAAACCAGAGAGCCAGGATTCAGAGGCGACCAAGCTGTGCAACTCTGTTAAACAGTTGCTCAATCTCGAAGCCCTAGTTCACGTAGCACTTTACAGAAACGTACCGTGGCACATCGCAGCAACTCTCAGGGTTGCCCCAAAACTAAACCTAACAGGGTGGAAAACTCTGAATGGTGCTGGTTTCATGGCACCTATGGAGACGAAGCCAGAGAATGTCGGAAACCATGCAGTTTTAACAAGGACACAAACTCGGAAAACGGTCATGCCGGCACGTGTTCACGGCAACCGTAGCCGGCGGAAACAGCCGTTAGCTTTACGTAAGGCATAAAAACGAAAGTTCGCTACCTCGTCGACACTGGCGCAGAAGTAAGCGTTATTCCCGCATTTATAAAAGGGGGTCATCATGACCCATCCTTCAATCTCCAAACAGCTAACGGCAAGGCGATGGAGACATTTGGGAGACGGTATGCCTACCTCAACTTAAGTTTGCATAAACCTATTCACTGGATTTTCCTCCTGGCTGACGTTTCTATGCACATCATTGGCACGGATTTGCCAAGCCGTTTTGATCTACTCGTGGATGCTCACCGCCAACGTCTGATAGATAACGACACAAAGTTATCTAATAATAAAAATAAATTTCGAATAATAGGTTATACAAACGCATGCCCTTTGTACAGACAACACCTGAACGCTATTGTTGTTTGTGAGTCTGAGAAAAGTAAGAAAGGACACGTTGGTATACCATACATAGTCTGCCAGGATGCAGTTGTTCAACCGTTGCTGGCTAAAAATATTAGATATTAACTCTTTCGCTATATAACGGTGGTGAATAGTAACACAGGCCTTATCGCCCAGTATGAGCTTTGAGCAGGCACCTGTGATTAGGCCTCTACACTTCAATTAATGGGTAGCATAATCAGCAAACGTACATAGGGTATCAAAAGCCAAACAATAGTAAAGCTCAAAAAGTTGCGAATGATCAATAAGTTATTGATGTTCATAGGCAGCGCGCAAAACTAGATTCAAATCATGGTATAGACCGATGATATAGCTTGGAACCGGTGGCGCTTGGTATCATGCAGCATGTAGTGACTGTTCGGTTCAGTGCCATTGGGAACAAATTTACAGGGATAAATTAAGCTAAAATCATCACTCTTTCCAGAAACTGTTCCCATTTTGCAGCCCACGAAGCGTAAGGTCTCATCATTAAGCCACTCATTATGTCTTCACGGTTGGCGTTTCATCTGAGGTCAGTCTCGGTTCTCTTCTTTATGAGGCGGGTGGGTGCTATTAGTCGGAGAGCCCGCACGTTTGGATACAAACAGCATGTAATGCCAACATTTCTAGGAACAACCCAATTGAAGCCATGAATTTGGGGTGAACCGTCAAATTAATCAGAATGCAGCGGTTTCTTTGTGAATCTGCCTATGAGAGAGAAAAGGAAACAGGGGTATAGAACAATTTATTGAGTGTTTAAGTCAATGCGAAGCAAGATATGGACATAGTAACCAAAGAAGGAGAGATCGGATGTAGATTTAAGAGTTTTTGCGCGACAATTATCTGTCTTTTCGGTAATAAACTATGGCGAGATGGTGACCTGACTTTTGCACACGATAAACACAAAGTATAGCACTGGAACTATCTGTCTGGACGGCGGGGCATATCGGCCAAGACGTCGAATTTAGAATTTAAGAGACAAGGGAAAAGTGGTCGCCATGCATACAGGCGTATGCAGAGGCCTCTGAATACGAAGTTTCGGCGTGAAGAAGTGAACTATTGGGAGTCACACTGTGTAGAAAGTAAGACAATATGATGTATGGACGTTTGCGAGGAATTCTGAGGACAGACTTTTCGGCAGTACAACTAAGTGGATTTGGACGTCGTTTTAGGCCAGATGAGTATCCTGTTTACCATGTAAACCGACCTAATATGATGGTACTGGCTATACAACAGAGGGGAACTGCCTGATACACAATGTTCTCACCGTTGCAAGTTAAGAGCTATTTAACCCATTGAAAAGACCATAGACAGAGATCCCACCTATAATTATTCCTAAGTTGCTATCAGTTTCACTACCTTGGAGACGCTAGGGTCCTTCAGAGCCGTCTCTGAGTGCCTCTGTTGAAAGGCATCTATCTACAAACAGACTGCAGATATCACCTGAACCCAAAAGCAAGTTGATAAGGCGCTTAAACTGCGACACCGAGGTGCTTCTGCGTACAATTACGGTGAGCCTATTCCAGATCAAGCTGTAATATGTAGTAAAGAATTTACATCTGACCTGTTGATTGGTGGCACTACCTACGTAGGTCCGAGTTCAGCCATCGTTAGAACCAAACAGTCAGGGGACGCGTCCTACCGAGCAGTTTTGGAGAAATGTCCAGAGTTAAAACAACCGAAGCACACTCTTCCATGCACAACCAGAAACGTTATGCATGACGCCACAACCAGAGGTCCACCTGTGGCATCTGAAGCTCGGCGTCTAGCTCCTGATAAGCTAAAAGCTGCGAAGAGTGAATCCGACCACATGCTGGAACTAGGCATTATCAAACCTTCAAGTGGTCCTTCGGCATCACCATTGCATGTGGTTCCCAAAAAGGATAGCAGCGACTGGCGTCCAGCCGGTGATTGCCGAAGGCCGAACGCCAGAACAACACTGGATTGCTACCCGGTACCTCAAGTTTACGACTTGAATATGATGTTATGCGGAATAAACGTTTTCTCCAAAACCGATCTGGCCAAAGCGTACAACCAGATACCCATGGCAGCAGTAGATAGCATGAAAACAGCCATTATTACTCCTTTGGCCTGTTTGAATTCCTGCGCATGCCACTTGGTCTTCGGAGTGCAGCACGAACATTCCAACGCTTTATGGATGATGCCTTTCATGGTTTGAATTTTCCTCACGTCTATATCGATGACCGTCTAATTGCGAGTCCAGATAAGGAGACTCACCTCAAACATTTGGACCTCGCATTCGAAAGACCTAAAAAACATGGCATCACAGTCAACTTACAGAAGTGTGAAATAGGAGTTGAATCACTCAGCTTCCTTGGGCATACCACTAACAACAAAGGAATACGCCCATTGAGAGATAAAGTGGTGGCCGTCACAAACTATCCAGAGCCAACCACTGCGAAACATCTCCGCACTTTCAATGTCCTGGTAAGTTATTAACGAAGGTTTGTTCCCAACTGTGCCTCTGTCATGAGACCACTAACACATCTACCTCGAGGAACTACGAAGTTCATGACTCTGGACAACGTGGCTCGACTTACTTTCTCTGAAGTCAAGGAAGCCATTTCAAACGCAACCATACTCATGCATCACGACCTCCATGCTCCTTTGAGCATCACCGCTGATGCATCTGACTCAGTAATTGGAGCAGTTTTGCAACAACTGACTGACAACCAGTGGTAACCGTTAGCCTTCTTCTCGAAGCGGCTGCAAGACGTGGAAACAAGATACAGTACATTTGGTAGGGAACTCCTAGCTATGCACTGTTCTGTACGCCATTTTCGACATTTGGTGGAAGGTCGTGACTCCATTATTTTCACAGACCACAAACCGTTAACCCTCTCTCTCGGCTCGGCAACAGACAAATACTCCCCGTGTGAGTCATGACAACTGGGTTGCGTTTCCCAGTTCACATCAGACATCCGCCACATTTCTGGAGCAAACAACTCTGTAGCCGATGCACTATCACGAATAGCTCTGATAAATCACATC